AAGGAAGGAAGGAAGGAAGGAAGGAAGGAAGGAAGGAAGGAAGGAAGAAAGAAAGAAAATAAATGAAATCCCAACGGAAGAAAGAAAGAAAATAAATGAAATCCCAACTGTTTTATTCTTAACTAGTAAAGATTCAGGAGCCAGATGCTGGGGTGAAAACCTACTAGCTCAGAGAGGTTAAAGCTCCATCTACCTCTGCACCTAGACACTATCCTAAATATCCCTCAACTTAAAGTCCCCCTTATTCTTTAATCCCTGTCAGCTGGTTTCTTGCTCCCCTCTTGACCTAGGGTTGACGTTATTAAATCTAGTATACAGAAAACTCTTGGATCAAAGGTGTGTCCTACGGCTGGGTGAGCCATACCATAATCATCTGTTTACAATAAAAAGTTCTTGGATTAAAGGTGTATAATAGGGCTCAACCACACCAAATAAGAAACAGGGTTTTACAGTTCATGTTTTTGGGGTTCACAATGGGATCAAATATCCTGCAACAATAATACCTGTGGGTGACAGGATTGTCCTGGCCCTAAGATAACGTAGAAGTCATTTAGACTGTTGTATAGTACAAATGATATCACTTATAAGAATGGTTTTGGTTTTTTTTTTTTTGTTTTTGTTTTGTTTTTTTTTATCTAAAAGCAATCCTCAAGGTTTTAAGGGGAAAGCCTGGGATAAATAAGAACAAAAATTCTAGAAGATATGGACAGTCTGTCTTGTCAGATAGCAAAGGGTCACCAGGTTGTAAAGCTAATATTATTCCAGGAGGAGCAGCTATGCACCTCATTCCATTGAAGAGGTAAGCTTCGTGTTTAACTTCCTGCCTTCGCCAGTGCTTATCTGTGTGCACAAGGCCTTTTTGCCCTCTACATAAAATCTTCGAGATTCTATTGATTGCCATTTTGCAATTGATTGAACCAAGCTTTCATGGAGTTTCATTAATCTCTCCATGGTCATAAGACTATCAGAGAGAAGAGCTAGGATCTAAGGGTTTCTGAAGACAAGTCTTATTCCTGTTCTATGGTGAAACTTTTTATAAGGAAGAAAATGTAAAGCAAATGAAGGCATAAATGTCAGGAAACCATACATTTTGAAATTATACTAGGCAGAATGTGTTCTGAATTAACATTTTTGTTTGTTTAGTAGTGATTGACAGCAAAGTACCTGAGTTTGGATTTATTCTGCCCATACTTCTAAACCAATGATGAGCAAATGGGAAGCAACGCTGAGGCAAATTGAAAAGCGGGCATCTCACTATGAGAGGACACCATTGACCTCCATTTACAAACCAAGATTGTCCAAGCCAGAAGAGCCGCCCTCCATTTGGAAACTATTTCATCGACAGAATCAAGCTTTTAATTTTGTTAAAAGCTGTAAAGAGGTAATTGTTTTGTCTTTTTTTTTTTTTTAAGTTTTAAGTAACACTTCAGGTTTAAAAAATGTGTTTGCTCTCATTTCATGTCAGATTCTTTACTAAGAAAATGCTGTACTAATCTTGATAGCACATGACTTAGAAAAATAACTCTTTGAATTCATTGGTCACTAAATTAATTTTAGTAGTAAAATATGACATTTCTCTTTTAGTTTTATTTTATCTTAAGTCTGTAAGCGTCCTATCTGCATGTAAGTATGTGCACCATATGAATGTAGGGTCCACCGAATTTAGAAGAGGTGTCAGGCTCCCTGGGACTGGAGTTACAGATGATTGTGGGGCACCACGTGGGAGCTGGGAATTGAACTTGGGGCTTCTGCCAAAGCAGGAAGTGCTCTTAACCACCATGCCGTCTCCCCAGCCAAAGAATGGTATTTTCAGTCCCAATTAATTTTTAAAATGTGGAATGTGTAACAACAGTGAAGTGAAATATGCTGGGAGGAAAGATGAGCATATTTCCGATAGATTAAGCAAGTAAGAGAAAGTACTTAACTTTTGTCAGCTTTACAGAGCTCATGGGGCTCAAACACAAAATTAAAATAAACCAGGCAACAGGTAATTTTGTTTGCTTGTTGGGCTTCTATGGGATATGAAGAGAAGTAAATGAAAATGTAAGATGTATGTGTAAAACGTAACTTGGGTCAAATGGCTCAGCAGGTGAAGGTGCTTGCCTCCAAGCCTGGGAACTCAAGTTTGCTCCCTGAGACCCACTTGGTAGGAGAGGACTGGTTACCTAAAGTTGTTCTCTGGCCTCCCAGTGCACTCGTTTCTTTCTCAGAGGAGTCCGCTTTGATTCTCAGCACTCACAGGCTGGCTCACAACCATCCTTAACTGCAGTTCAGGGATCCCACTGACCTCCTGTGACCTCTCTGGGTACCAGCCACACATGTGGTATACCTACATACATACAGACAGACAAAACATTTATACACATCACATAAAAGAAATAAATCTAAAAGAAGAATTTTAATATATAGAGAGATTTGAGATGGTGTGGGTGTGTTGACTGTCTTGTTTTAATAATATTGTTCATATATTTATTTATTAGTTAATATTTATTAGTTACAGCTGAACTTAGATTTGCATGCTGTACATTTTTCAAAAATTATTTTAAATTTTATACAGGATGTTCATGTATTTGCTTTGGAGTACAAAGTAGAAAATGGACAACGTATTTACCTTGTAACATCCTATCCTCAACTTTGGTTTTACTATAAGTCCCGGTAAGTAGCAGAGAAGCTCATTAGGTTGAAGTTGTATTTTCTTTTTTTATTGAAATTTATTCATGCTCAATTGATATTCACAATTCTTGGCCACATGATTGGTACTTACCATACACTATTGTAGTGAAACACCATGACTGTAAACTATTTGAGGAGGAAAGGGCTTATTCAGCTTATGCTTCCATATCGATGTTCATCACTGGAGAAACACAGGACAGGAGCTCAAGCAGGAACCTGGAGGCAGGAGCTGATGCAAACGCCATGGAGGCGTCTGCTTACTGGCTTCCTCCTTATGGCTTGCTCAGCCTGATTTCTTATACGACCAGGACCACCAGCCCAGGGGTGTCTTCGTCCACAATAGACTGGGCCCTCCCCTGTTGGTCACTAATTAAGAAAATGCTCTGTAGCTTATCTGCTTACAGCCCAATCTTATGGAGAGACATTTTCTCAACTGAAGCTCCCTCCTTTCAGATGACTATAGCTGTATCAAGTTGACATAAAACTTGTCAGCACATTACTCTTTGACTATTAGAATTGAGTTCTAAAGTTTCTTTGTGAAAAATATGGTTACAACACTCACAGAAGCTAATGATAGATGTGTTTATCTTTCTGGTAATCATTGACAAAGATTCTATATTTGACATAATTTTTAATAATTAATTCTCTCTTTTTTATTTTTTGAGACAAGATCTCACTAGGTAGCTCTGGCTGGCCTGGAACTCACTAAAAAGACCAGGTTGGCTTTGAACTCACAGTGAGAAGCTTGCTTCCCTCTCCTAAATGCTAAGATTAAAGGTGTACAATCCCATGCCCTGCATACATACTCAATGTTTTAAAGTTTGTTTTTTGCAGTCATTTATTTATTGTGTATGTGTGTTCCTGGCATGCCACTTTGAGAAAACAAAATTAGACATGTTATACAATATCAAGACATTTGTAAATAAATAGCACTGTAACATTGACCTTATTTGCCAGTTAAATAATTTTCTGAATACATTTGTTAGCATTACTCATTTTACCACAAACTCTTTAATATTGTGAGCCACAGACTTACCGTTAGAACGTTGTCTTTATTGGTTTATTAATTCATGGTTACGCATAGATAAGACACAGTGATCACTCTTCTTGAGTACAAGATTAACTCCATGTTTTAAAAGGTATGGGCTGTATGGGCTGGTGGAGTGGCTCAGTTAGTAAGTGTGTTTGCTATGCTTGTCTGACAACCCAAGTTTAATTCTTGGAATCCATGATGAATGAAGACAGGTGACTCCTGAATGTTGCGCTCTTACTGTCACACCCCCAGGTTCCCCTCCCCCACCCCCACAATAATAAGTTAAAAACAATTTACAGGGTAAGATACAAATCTAACTCTTGTATTATCTAATTTAGAAAAACACTCTTGCATTGCTATGAAGTTATTCCTGAGAATGCTGTCTGCAAGCTTTATTTTGATTTGGAGTTTAACAAATTGGCCAATCCGGGAGCTGATGGGAAAAAGATGGTTGCATTGCTCATAGAGGTAAGTTCTACATACTTGCATTAGTCACTGACTCCACATAGGTTCCACATTTCTCCTACTTTTTCTTGCTATCCTTTGTTTTGACAATATTATTTCTATGAGTAAATAATGAAACAAAATGAAATTTCAATTAATGCCTATGTTTTTAAATAACATTACTTTATCTAATTTAAAAAGCTGAAATAGATGAGTTTCTCTCTGTGTGAGAGTTCTCTGTTTTTGAACTATGTTTTAATTCTCTGACTTCCGGTAAAATATTTACCTGTGGCAAAAGCCAGGTAAAGCAAATTTCACTCTTAAAATTAGACATTGAGATGAAATTCAGGGAAATTTTGACAAGAACTATCAGAATTTTTGAACTGGTGGAAATTTTGGAAATTGTATCTGTGCCTTCATGGATGATATAATTAAGACTTGAAGAGACCAGTACCTACCTGGATCCTACAAATAGAAACTGACCAAACCTAGAATACAAATAGTTAAATCTATTTTCATCTAAGAGAAAGAATGTAATGCTAATATTTACTTTTTTATTTAGCTGTGTCAATAAAAAGGAATTACATGGAGTTATACATGTGTTTTTTAAAAGTTTAAGATTGCTTTACATGAATTGAATGAAAATTGTAATGACCTCAGAGTAGGTTTTAACATTTTTTTCTTTTGAATGTTAGCCATATGCTAATGTTATAAAAAGTAATTTTTTAACTTGAAAATATATCTAAATTCAAATGTTCTTGCTAAAGGAGTTCTGTTAGTTTTGTTAGATGTTTGCATATTTGACTTTAAGTTATAAATACTTTTTTCTGGATTTGAAGCAGAATAAATACATGTAAAATCTTCCTTAATTCTCCAAACTAACCAAGTTGTATTAATTCTTAAAATGGCCACTGATTACTCAAAAGTAAACCTAATGCCTTGTTTCGTTGTAGTTGGGAAATTGTATGGGTTTTTGCTGGTGGTGTTGGTTGGTTAGGTCTTTGTGTGTCTGCTGTCTTGAAATGTGGCACTGGCCTCCAGACTTTGACTCTGGAATGCTGTAATGGCAGATCTGAGCCACTGGCTTGGTTTTGACTTTTTTATGTTTGTGTTCATCAATAATCATCAGTAGTGATTTTTTCTTGGTATGTGATATAGTTCAAGATAGTCTAAGATAGGATTTCTTAAATATATGGGTTAGAAAGAGGTTTTCTCCATATTTATCACCCTGCACAAAACTAAAGTCCAAGTGGATCAAAGACCTCAACATAAAACCAGAAACGCTAAATCGGTTAGAAGAAAAAGTGGGGAACAGCCTAGAACTCATTGGCATAGGAGACAACTTCCTGAACAGAACACCAACAGCACAGGCTCTAAGAGCAACAATCAATAAATGGGACCTCATGAAACTGAAAAGCTTCTGTAAAGCAAAGGACACCGTCATCAAAACAAAAAGACTGCCTACAGATTGGGAAAGAATCTTCACCAACCCTTTATCTGACAGAGGGCTAATATCCAGTATATATAAAGAACTAAAGAAGCTGAAAAGCAACGAACCAAGTAATCCAATTAAAAAATGGGTAACAGAGCTAAACAGAGAATTCGCAATAGAGGAATATCGAATGGCAGAGAAACACTTAAAGAAATGCTCAACCTCATTAGCCATTAGGGAAATGCAAATCAAAACGACCCTGAGATTTCACCTTACACCCATCAGAATGGCCAAGATGAAAAACGCAAGCGACTACACATGCTGGAGAGGTTGTGGAGAAAGGGGAACCCTCCTCCATTGCTGGTGGGAATGTAAACTGGTACAACCACTTTGGAAGTCAATCTGGCGCTTTCTCAGACAATTAGGAATAGTCCTTCCTCAAGACCCAGCCATACCACTGATAGGTATATACCCAAAATTTGCTCAAGTACACAACAAGGACATTTGCTCAAACATGTCTGTAGCAGCCTTATTTCTAATACCCAGAACCTGGAAACAACCCAGATGTCCCTCAACGGAGGAATGGATACAGAAATTGTGGTATTTTTACACAATGGAATACTACTCAGCAATCAAAAAAAAGAGGAAATCATGAATTTTGCAGGCAAATGGTGGGATCTAGAGAGGATCATTCTGAGTGAAGTATCCCAGAGGGAGAAAGACAAACATGCTATATACTCGCTTATATAGACCTATAAGATATGATAAACATAATGAAATCTATACACTTAAAGAAGATAATCAAGAAAGCGGACACAGGGTAAGATGATCAATGCTCATTTAGAAAGACAGATGGGATGTGCATTGAACGTATGACAGCAGTCTACTGCAGAAGGCATCTGAAAGACTGCCTAGCAGTGTTTCAAAGCAGATACTAAGACTCATAACCAAACCTTTGGCAGAGTACAGGGAATCATAGGAAAGAAGGGGAGTTAGTATGATGTGGAAAGGATAGGAGCTCCACAAGGACCAAATATATCCGGGCACAGGGTGTTTTCTGAGACTGACACTCAATCAAAGACCATGAATGGATATAATCTAGAACCTCTGCTCGGATGTGGCCCGTGGTAGCTCAGTAACCAATTGGTTTCCCATAGTAAGGGGAACAAGGACTATTTCTAACAGGAACTCAATGGCAGGCTCTTTGACCTCCCCACCCCCCAAGGGAGGAGCAGTCCTGCTAGTCCACAAAGGAGGACATTGCAGCCAGTCCTGAAGATACCTGATAAAACAGGGTCAGATGAAATGGGAGGAGGTCCTCCCCTATCAGTGGACTTGGAAAGGGTCAGGGAGGAAATGAGGGAGAGAGGGTGGGATTGGGGAGGGAATGAGGGAGCAGGATACAGCTGGGATACAGAGTTAACAAAATGTAACTAATAAGAAAAATAAAATTAAGAAAATTAAAAAAAACAAACAAAAAATTTAAAAAAAGGTTTTCATTGCTACTTAAACTTATTGTTACTGTTAAAGTGCTACAGTGTATTAGAAAGCAGAAATAACCCTAATGTACTAAACAATAGGATGCTCTTCTGTAACAGATTTAATAAATACATGAAAAGATCATCTAAATGTTTAATTTTTCCCTCTTCATTATATTTTATGTATGTAGACATTGAAGAACTAATTTATATCAGGAAAATGTGGAGGACATTGTAGAAATCTAACTTCAAAATTATAAGACAATTTTATTTAACAAGTTTATCATTTCTTCAGAATTGTATGAGAATTTTATTTAACATGTTTATCATTTGATAAAACAGGTCATATTAGTATTAACATAACCGTTTATAAATAGCTATATTGAAACCTTAGTTTTTTTGGTATGTAACAACTTTGTTATCTAGCAAATATGTTTTGAGTCTGACAATGCTTAAATTCTGTTAGCTATTTGTTGTTTTCACATTTTATGTTCTTTGTTTTTTGTGTTTTGGCACGCATGTCACAGTTCACATATGGATGTGAAAGGAGAACTTGTGGGACTTGGTTCTCTCCTTCTACCATGTAGGTCGTGGGTATCAAACTCAGGTCCTCACATGTGGCACCAGATGCTTTACTCAGCCGTTTTGATGGCCAAAGCAAGGTCACATAGTCCCAAAGGGCCCCCTACTCACTATGTGGAAAACCCTGAACCTCTTTGATTGTTCTGCCTCCTCTCTCTCCCAATTAAGCCCTTTGAATACAGGTGTGCACCACCACACCCAACAAATTTGAGTAGTTATTATCTTTAAATTAACAGACACTTAATAAATAACTGTTTAGGAACAACTGTCTATATCGTTGATACCTTTGAGCTCACTGGCTTAACTGATACATTTCAGCCACTCCTACCAATTAGGATGAATTCTGGTATGAATGTATTTTGTTAATGATGCAGATTGCTTAAGTAATCATGTATTTTTAACCTCCAAGTTCTATAGTGTAGTTGCATAAATAGCTATAATTCTTTTTAAGTTTAACTTGGGAAACATAATTTAGAAATGGTTGACTACTAAAAACTAAAGAGCCACTAAATTTATTCTCTGTGACTTCAAAGCACAGAATTCTATTCAAATGCCAAAAGCTTTTAAGCATCTACTGTCAGGCTCTGTATGTATGTATATTACAGGAATGCAATACAGAGCCAGAGGCATGGTTTCTGACTTCAGAGACTTCTTAATCTAACAAAGAATAATAAATTAGGGTTGAGGTAGCTGCCAGAGAGAAGATACAACATTTCTCTAGTTTAAACAAGGCTGGGCTGGGGCACTCCTTTAATCTCAGTACTGGCGAGCGAGGCAGACGCAGGGTGATCTCCGAGTTCAAGGTCAGTCTGGTCTACAGAGCAAGTCCCAGGACAGCCAGGGCTACATAGAAAAACCATATCTTGAAAAGTAAAATCAAAACAAAAGCAAAAAACAAACAAAAAGTAGCTTAAACAAGATGGAAACATATCCATTGCTCATAGAATATTCAGTATGATTCTATTATTTTAAAAACTAAGCTTGTTGCTTTATTTTTTCCAAATTACTGCTTTGTTCACATTGTCCAAGTTTGGGCACACTGCTATCTCTAGTTAATAGAAAATGGGACAGGCCAGGGCTTGCTCCCTGTCTGTAATACAGAGGGAACAGATCTCAAAACAGTGAGATTGGTGTACAACTGCAGCTATGACGTACTTCAGAGAGGTAGCCAGGAGAAAGCTGACGTCGGTGAACACATTGATGGGGGGCTGCTGAGAAAGTGAGAATTTACTAAAGAGCAGTTAGTTCAGATGTGGAAATCCAGTAATATGAAAACAGTGGTAGTGTGTTAATTTATTAAATAACTTGGATATTTAAGTGGTTAGTAAACTTTTAGAAACATTTTTGCTAATTTTAAGTATCGTCACATGGTAGTTAATACTTTATTTTTCAGATGAAAAGTGACTTATCTTGATGCTCCACAGGCAATACTTTTAAGCAATTACCCATGTGAGACACTAGGCTAACTTCTTAATCTTATTTTCCCATTACTCCTTACCATAACTTCAAAAGTTTGGTGATATTTCCTGTTCTTATCTCAGAGCTGAGAAATGGCAGGATTAGATTTGACCAGGGCCAAAGGGGCAATAAATGGCAGAGCCAAAACTCAAACTTAGTGCTTTCTAAACTCAAATCTTGGGCTCCTACGCCATGTGCTTTCAGGCTGTATTCTTAGAGACAGACCCAGATTCAGAGGAAGGAGAGATTTTCTTATTATTAAAAGTTTTGAAAGGACTAGAGCTAGAGACTATAACTTTTAGCCACTATGCTCACTAGTGTTTTGTCAGCTTGACATGAGCCAAAGTCATTTAAGGAAAGAACTTCAATTGGAGAAGATGCCCTCTCCAAAGTGACCTGTGGGCCATTTTCTTACTTTAATGATTGATGTGGGTGGCCCCAGATCACTGTGGGGCCTGCAACCTGTGGGCAGGTGGTACTGGATGGCATAAGAAAGTAGGCTGAGCAAACTATGAGAAGTAAGCCAATAGCAACATTTCTATATGGCCTCTGCATCAGTTCCTGCCTTGAGTTCCTGCCCTGACTTCCCTGGATGATGTAATACCAGCTGTAAGGTGAAATAACACCCTTTCTTCCCTGAGTTGGTTTTAGATGTTTTATCACAATAAAACGTAAGACAAGCTAGTGTTTCAGAAGGTACTTAAAAGGGAACATTTTATTATGGTTTTAGAGGAGGTTAAGTATATAAATTGCTTGCCTTTCAGAAGTCTTCTTCAGTTCTGAGAGCCTGTGAATTTCTGATGTTTTAAAAATGTGTTTGGGTGTTTTGCTGACATCTGTGTCTGTGTACCATATGTGAGCCTGGTGCCCGCAGAAGCCAGAAGAGGGAATTGGATTCCCTGCTCCTAAAGATATATGTGGTTGTGAGCTACCATGTGGTGCTGAGAATCAATCCTGGGTTCTCTAAATGAGTAGCAAGTACTTTTAACTACTGAGCAATCTCTCCAGCTCTAAATAATTTTTAATTATTATTTTTAGAAATTGTACATATATAGATGTTTTGCCTGCATGCATGTTTGTGTATCAAATGCATACCTGGTGCCCAGAAGACAGAAGAAGATATTGGAGCTCCTAGAATAGAGTTACACATGGTTGTGAGCTGCCATGTGGGCGCTGGAATTCAAACCAGGACTTCTGCGAGAGCAGGCAATGCTATTAACCCCTGAGGCATCTCTCCAGCCCTACCTATGATTTTTTATATATAAACACATTTAATTTTAAATGGTGTATTTAAGATTATTAGTAAATTGGTAAGGTTGCTATATTGTAAATGCTGTGATAACTCACCCCATTTGTAACAAGGTGTTTGTATTGGTGATAGAGAAATCTAAAATCAAAACTGCAAATTATATTTGCTTGTGTTTTCAGCATGTTTGTAAAGCACTTGGGGAGTTATACAGTGTTCACTGTTCAGCTGAAGATGTTTTCAACTTGGATTCCAGCACTGAAGAAAAATTTAGCCGACACCTAATATTTCAGCTCCATGATGTGGCATTTAAAGATAACATTCATGTTGGTGAGTACCTTTTATAAAATCCTAGTTATATTAAAAATCATATTTTCCTTCTCTTGAAATTTTCAAGGTATTTTCTAGCCTTTATGGTTACTTGCCTATTCTAAAAAGATGAAGTGAGTTTTCATGGTTGCCCTTAGCTCTTGAGCCATCTTTCTCTTCCAGGTAGTTTAACCAACTCGGGATATCAGTGGTGTTCGTGCCTCTCGCCATACACATTGGGATGACTGTGCACATCTTGATACCGGTTTCCATTTCAACAGGGTTCATTTCAGTTTTCTGGACAAGTCAGGAGAGGCCTTATCTATGATAGCTAATATCTGTATTCCTGACCTTTGCTTCAGCCTTAAATTAGCCAGATTAAGCCCTAAGTCATATCAAGAAGAGCTTATTGTTCCAAGAAGAACTTTTGAACTGCAATGACATTTGGATGTGTAAACCTGAAAGTGTAAGCAGAGTATTTTCTGTAGGAGAAATGAAGGTCCTGATAAAAAATGGAGTCAATCTAGAGGAGACGCAAATAGGCCAACTGGGAATGCCTACATCTAGGGTCTAAAGAAAAGGCAGAATCCCAAGTGTTCATCAAGCAGTAGTAGGGAGGCTTCAAGATTGTTGGCTAATGTTCTTGTAACAGGCAAACCATTTCAGAGCTACAAGTGGCGTGTGACTCACAGCCTCCTAGATAAAAGGAGTGGGCATAGTCTCAAAAGGACTGATGTAGAGCTCTGAAGCCAAGTGCTGGATTAGAGACTTTCTGGTTCATAGTGAGCTAGGGGTGGTCCTTACTAGCCTCTGCCTCTTCCTCTCATCCCTTAGATGTTGGTAATTGCAGGCTCAATGCTTGAATCTTTACTCACTCTATCATCATCATCTTTTGTGATCATCAACTATCATGGCTTAGATTATCACCAGTACAGATATTATATTTGTCCCAGATTATTCTAGACATCAGAGCATTTACAATATAGCAACTTTACCAATTTACTAATAAGTTTAAATACATCATTTAAAATTATCCTGCCACATCTTCCCACCAATATTTCTACTCAGACATCTCAACTCACCATGTCCTTCCTAAGCTCCTTCCCTAAGAACTTGCTCATTCCCCCAGTGGTGTCTGTCAGTGAGTGGTGTCAATCATCACTGTCCAGTGCACATGCTGGTGTGTCCTCAACCTCTGTAGATCTCTCTACCTGCTTATTTAGTCAGCTAGCAGAAAGTATGATTATAGCACCATGTGCCTCAAACTCCTCAAGGGCCGTTCTTTGCTATCAGGGAGAAGCGTACCCACTTTACCGTGCACAGTTATGTTCGCTACACTCTAACCTCATTTCTTCACTCCATCCTTAAGTTAGCTCCCACCACTGCACATTTTTTTAGTGCTTGGGCTTTTTTTACTTCTTGTTGCTGCTTTCTGAACTACAGTTCAGATGGTCTATTAAGATTACCAACATCTCAGGTCAACTGAGAAGCTGTTCTGTCACTCTGACTCCTAGATTTAAAAGGCTAGTATTCTTCCGGGTTGCAGTGTCCAGTGTCATTATGTGAAAGCATTTGCTATTTCCTCTGGTAGTTTCCTGTTTTCTTATAGCTATTCTCTGTAGTGTGTTTGTACATGCATGCCTGTGTGTGTGTGTGTGTGTGGTAAACATGTATCCACATGTGTGGGCTGCTGCTCTCACCCTTGTGGACATATATAGAGGCCAGAGGTAGCATGACAATATCTTCCTCAATTACTTTTCCACCTTATTGTTTTTTTCTTAACCTGAAGATTGCCTTTTCAACTAGGCTGGCTGGCTGACAGGGCCCCAGGAGCTGCCTGATTTTTCTCCCCAGCACCAAAGTTACAGATGCCACAGCCATGACTGGCTTTTTTTTTACTTGGTTTCTTGCAATCTAAGCTCAGGGCCTCAGGCTGTTGTTGCAACTCTTTACACATGGAGCCATCTGCTCAGTTCTATCTAATCTTTCTTTTCTCTTTCTCTCTCCCTGGGTGTGTACGTGTATGTTTTGGTTTTTGTATTTTTTGAGACAGGGTTTCTTTGTGTAGCCTTGGCTGCCCTGGACTCACTCTATAGACTAGGTTGGCCTCAAAGTCCAATTGCCTCTGTGTTCTGGGATTAAAGGGGTACATCACCACCTAGCTACTTAATTTCAGGGACTGTTGTTTATTCCCTGTTTTCAGTATTATATATATATATATATATATATATATATATATATATATATATATATGTTTGTTTATTTTGAGGTAAGGTTTCTCTGTGTAGCTTTGGGTGTCCTGGAACTTACTCTGTAGAGTAGGCTGGCCTTGAATTTATAGAACTCTGCCTGCCTCTGCCTCCCAAGTGCTGGGATTAAAGGCATGCACCACCACTACCCAGCAGGTATTGCTGTTAATAATAATATTTGGAATATTAATAACAATAAGAAACAGAAATGGGCATTTAATAACTATTTGATGACTGAATGCACAGATGATAAGCAGAGTATGAAAACAGAGTCCTGAAGAAGACATTTCTTTGATTCCTGTTTACTCCTCACAGTCTGCTCTCTGACTGCTCACAATAAGGCTGAGTCTAGCTAGAGAAGGGGAATAGATGGTTGCTAGTAACTAGCAGTCTCTGCTACAGATATCTTCTGAAAGCAGGTCACATTTGCTTTGAAATGGGGTAGAATTTCATCATACAGAGGAGAGTAAGAAAGCCTTTCCTGTCACAGAGCTTAGACACAGTTAGAGCACAGTCACACTTGACAAATATCCTGTTAGCCTAGGCTATCTCTACAGCTGGAATGCAGATTCAGGGAATACAAACTAGTTTACATTTCCCCCTCATTTCTCCTTTCTTTGTGTTCCTCCTGACAACACTTCAAGTTCCTGTTACTAACATTGCAGAAAGAGGAACTGGGCCAAATGGGAGAGATTAGAGAACTTTATCTGTCCAGTACTTTCTGCTACAGATCACAGAGGAGGACACAGCAGGGGTAGTGTGCTGGGAGCCAGTGTGCACTCCTCAGGCTGGATGACTGCCATCACACTCCTGCCATGTTAGTTCCCTTCCAAGGGTCAAAGGCCTAGCCGCCTCAGTGCTGCCTATACAACCATTTCTGCAGTCCAGGTCTCACTGTTCTTATTATCTGGGCCAGGTAGATGGAATTCGGTTTCCAGGAAAGTCACTTTATTGATTAATGTTTATATTGTTTCATAGTCCTTTGACATACCATATCTTGTTAACCAGTGTTACTTGGCTCTCCTTCATTCCAGAAATCACTCCTGTTACTGCAAGAGTCAAATGCTTTTGCTTTCATTTTAATGTTCTAACGCTTACTTGTTTACTTATCTTTAGTGTGTGTGCACGCAGGCAAGTTTACGTGTGCCCTTGAGGCCAGAAAAAGGTGTCAGATCCCCAAAAGCTAGAGTTACAGCTGTTGTGAGCTGCTAGACATGGGTACTAAGAACTGAATTCTGGTCCTCTGGAAGAGCAGGAAGCACTCTCAACTGCTGAGCCATCTGTCCAGTCTGTGTTTTATTTGCTCTCAGACAGTCTTACTATGTAGCCCTAGCTGACCTCAAACTGTCTCCTGATTCTGTTTCCTGGGAGCTAGAATGTTGTTGAACATTAATATTTATTTTGTTTACCTGGAATTAATCAGTGGTTATTCCTAAACCAGCTGTATACCCAAATCACCACACAGAGACTAGGATTTATTTAGTTAACCTAGAGCACAATGCTGGGCAATAGTTATTCCATCCTAAATCTCCAATCCCGCATAGCTTCCTCCCATTCAGAATTTCCAACATTGTACTTGCTTTTAGTCATATCTTAGGTCCAGTTCATCTTTCCTCCTGGTTCCAAGTCCTGTTCTGCAGATCCCTGCTCTCCTACATCCCCTACTTGCTTCCTTCTCCCCTCTGGACCAGGATGTCCCACCCTATTCTCTCCATTGCTCAGCATTGTGGCTGGCTGTTTTATTGACAATACAGAGAACAACTGGTGGCATGTTTACATAAACTTGAGACAGGTGATGCTTAGAATAAGCATCACAATGTGATGTCCAGATTGAAACCAGATAGTGGGATAGAGAAATCAGCATTTGAATGAACAAGGGTAAATTGTATACATTCCACAACATTATACCAACACTGGAATAACATGCATGTGCCACCATATTCACTTCCAATTCCTTTTAAAATTGCTAAACATTTATCAGTCATGATGGTACAGGCCTGTAGTCCTAGAACTAGGGAGGCTGAGACAGGATGATCACAAGTTCAAGGGCATCCTGGGCTATATAGCAAGACACTATCTCAAAAAAGGAAAACAAAGAGATTGTATTTGTTTCTTTGCATAGAAAAGTCTTAGAGAGATAAGATCTTGTTTATAAAGCATGTGTGTGTTATGACTTAAATATACATAAAGTCAGATAGATAGGTAGATAGATAGATAGATAGATAGATAGATAGATAGATAGATAGGTAGATATAGATAAAGTCTTTCTGATATATAAAGTAATAAAAAAGCCCCATTTTATAATTATATAGAGGTTTTTCTTACATTATTTTGTGTATGCAGTATTATATAAAACAACTTAATAGCTGAATTGTGTTTGATTTTGTGATATAAACAGTACATATGAATTTAGTTGTCTCACCAATTTTTCGCAGTGTGGGTAGAACAGAGTCTTAGGGCAGATGCTGAAGTACAAAATGCATGAATTGCTTTAATTCCATGTGTTAGCTCTAAAGGCATAGTTTGTCTTGTGACCCATTTGAGGATGATAATATGGTTGGCAACAAGCTTTGGACTTCCAAACTGAGGGTTCTTGGGGCATGTCATGGCAGCTAAGAGAGAGGATGAGTTCATCAGACTTTGCTAATTTGCTGACCCTGGGGTGTGGCAGACTCTTGGTATGCTGTCCCTATCTCTGCATTGGTATCCTCATGTGAATGCCTCATCCTTCAGTCACTGACCAGACCTTATTCTCTCCTTTTGTAGTAGGGGAAGCAGACATTTCTGCTGACAGCATATTAGACTCAAGTTTACTAGCAACATGGTGTATTTACAACCGACAACCTCCCATGCCAATAGGAGCTAAAAAAAGATAAAATTATACAAATGAAAAGATGTGGTAGAGGAGCCATAGTGTAGTTTACAGCAGTATCTGAAGAAAGGCTTTATTGCATACAGTTCTTTGTATATATACATCTAGACACTAAATTATAGTTTATAGAAAATAAGAATTAGATTGTAATCTTAATTCTTTTTCTCCTTAGGTAATTTTGTGAGAAAAATTTTGCAACCTGCTCTTCACTTACTTGCCAAGGAAGATGAAGATAAGATCCCAGAGGTGATGAGCCATGAAGCTTCCTGTTTTTCTGATGTACTATTAAAACAAGAGGTTTCAGAGGCCTGGGAGAAGCCAGGGTCACCTAAGCAATGTGGCCCTGATCTTTCATTTTTAGTTGTGAAGAATAACATAGGAGAAAAGCATCTTTTTGTGGATCTAGGTAAGTAACACGGGTACTGTCGACCGCTCTGCGTCCTTGTGAAAGGCAAGTGTGTGCCTACTGGGCTACTGGGCTATGCTTAGGTTTTGTAATCTACTTGGAAGAGAGTTTTGCTTGAGTGAAGATGTCAAGATTCATTTTTTACTTTGTGGTTATCCATTTGCCTCAGCACCACTTGTTTGAAATGACTATCATTCCCTAATGCTCAGCAGTACCATTTGCTAACTCCAGAGTCTGTACATATTCAGACATACTCTGTACATACTCTGTACATACAGTCTGTACATACTCTTGGTCTGTTCTATTCAGTCGGCTATCATTTCTTAGGCTGGTATTGGTACATTATAGGTTCCTCCATTTATTTAGTGTTCTCTCAATTCTTGCCATGTTTTGTGATTTTCTGGATAGAAACCTTACAAATCTTTCATTAGATGTAGTATAAATATTCTTTTTGTTCTTGGTTGTCTCCCTTTCTCTGGGGTTTTATACCACAGTTCTTTGGTAGCTCTTAGTCAAAAAATTCATTTCTGGCCTTTGACCTGCTATTCTGTTTGCTTTCCTTTGGAGAACTACCCCAGAGTCATTTAGGCAGCTATCCTCATGTGGCTGTCTTTCATCCTAACTTCAATTGACCGTAATTTATATATTGCTTTAATTTTATATATGGGAAATAATCATCTTTTCTAGAAATTCTGCAGAAAAAAAATATTTGCTGACAATAAAGTGGACCATGGAAACATGCATTTATTTTTAAAATTGATTTTTGATATAGGAGTCTATACAAGAAACAGAAACTTTCGGCTGTATCAGTCATCAAAAAAAGGAAAGTGTGTGCCTTTGGAGGTTGCTGAAGATAACAGATTTATTCCAAAACAGGCAAAAGACATTTCTGAGGAAAACCAGTATTTCCTGTCTTCGCTGGTGAGCAATGTCAGGTCTGTAGAACTGGAATCAACCTACCAAATATTTATGTATATAGCATTGTATATAGCTAAAATATGAATTGTATAAATTCATTCTACCTTAAGAAAGTTTGTTTTTAAAAGCCTCTTTTCTCTATATCTGAAAAATAATACCAAGAAAAATTTCTAACCATTTAATTTCTTTATATTTTATGATTATATTTCACGTGTTTGTCAGTTACTCTAAAATCATCACTTTATGAATAAGAAAATAAGACTTGCATTGTGTTTGAAAGTATAATTACTACTGTTCAATTTTCTTTACACATTGACACATATACATTTAGAGCTTATGTAGCTCCCTTTTCAGAGCTATTTCTTGTCATGGGTATAGCTTAGCAGTAGAGCACTTGCCTGGAGTACTCAAGGCCCTATGTTTGATCCACTGCACCAGGTCCCAGAAAATGTGTTTTAGTTGGGATCATCATTCATACGGTTCTGTCACCTGATTTGTTCTTTTCAACATCATATCACAAATATTTGCCAAGTTAATAGCTTACCAGCAATTATAAGTAAAATATTTAATGCTTTTGTACTATAATGGCATACTTTATTGACAGAGCTGTTGTTGCACTTTAGGTTTCTTTGTTTTGGTCACTAATTCTACTCTTACCAGATTGTCAATTTTGTCAGGTCAGAATGTGTCAGTAAGCCCAGAGCTGTCTGTAATTCTAGCACTTGGGAGGTGGATATGCAAGGACAAGGAGTTCAAGGTCATCATTGGTTATTTAGTAAGTTCAAGGCCAGCCAGACTACATGAGACCAAGTGCTAATTTTAAATCACTCTGCTCCCCCCAAACCAACAAACACAAGTTAAACCCTAAAACAAACAACAGTAGTTAACAATTGGACTAAACCACATTAACTTGCTATGTTGTTTTTGCCCTTTAATTTCCTCAAAAGTTTTTGGTTTGCCGGGCACGGTGCCTCACTCAGGGAGGCAGAGGCAGGTGGACCTCTGTGAGATCGAGGCCAGCCTGGTCTACAAAGCAAGTCCAGGACAGCTAAAACTACACAGAGAAACCCTATCTCAAAAAAAAAAAAAAAAAGTTTTTGGTTTGGAGTTTTTTGGTTTTGACAGAGAATCATTGTGTAGCCCTGTGTGTGTGTGGGGGGGGGGGGGTGCGGCTGTAATTCTTTGTAATTCACTATATAAACTATACTGACCTCAAATTTACAGAAATCCACCTGCCTCAGCATCTCCCCAAAAGTTTTAAATAAAAGCTTTCTATAGGGATTAACTTTAAGAATAAATATTTAGCCTCGTATGGTTGTACAAACCTTTAGCCCCAGCACTTTGAAGCAAGCCTGGTCTAAGCAAATACCGGGACAGCCAGGGCTATCAGAGAAACCCTGGCTAAACATACACCCGTACACAACATACATGGCACAAACATGGTATGTTTCTCCAGGAAAAGTTGTGTGTAGTGGGAAGACAGACAGCCCCCCCATATAACTATTTTGTTTGTGTTCCTTTAATATTTCTCAGAAGTAAGATGGAAACACTTTTAAAGTGAAGTAATGACCCTTAAGTTTAGAACAGACAAATAACACATCCGAGGCAGTGTCTGGCATGCATTGGAGGCACAGCGTCTGCATTTGTGGAGCGGGCGTAGGAGTGCTGATGGTCAGAGCAGCGCTTTTCAACCTTCCCAATGCTGCGACCCTTTAATACAGCTCCTCATGTTGTGGTGACCTCAACATGAATTTATTTTTGTTGCTCCCTCATAAGTGTAATTTGTTATATTATGAATCGTAATGTAAATGTCTGACACACATGATATCTGATGTGTGACACACAGGTTGAGAACCACTGGAGTCCAGTGCAGCCTCACAGAAGTGAGCAGTTCTCATCCTAAGTAAGATTTCCTGGAGCTGGAGGGATGGATCAGTAGTTAAGAGCGCTGGCCGCTCTTCCAGAGGTCCTGAGTTCAATCCCCATCTATACTGGTATCTCATGCACTCTTCCGGCATGCAGGTGTACGTGCAGATAGCATTCATCTACATTAAATAAATGAGTGAATAAGTAAATCTTTAAAGCAAGACTTTCTTACCTGTGCTGTGCATAACCATGTGAGTGCCAGGCATGACTCTTCTGGGGAGGAAGGCCAAGTTCTCTGTGATTACTATTAGTGTGAATTTTGCTCACATCTCCTGTGCCTTTAGTACTAAAAGTCTTAAACTTCAACAGAAAGTTCACAGGTCTTTGTGTTTAGGGGAGAACTGTACTATCAATCATGTCAGCTACCCCAGAATCCTCGGATATTCTGTGAAGAAAGTATTTTAAACAATCTCCAAGTGACTGTTTAAAGGAAAAAAAATTAACTGGCAAATCATAATCTTATCATAATGTGGTAAGACTGGCCCTTTGGGCTGTCAATGTGGAGTTGCATGGAGCTGTTTCCTCTCTAGTTCTGCTGCTTTAATTCGAACCTCATGCTACTTTATTTCTTTTATACATTTTCTTTAGATTTTCAGACACTTTACGAATTCTCACATGTGACACCTCTCAGACTAGAAGAAAGCGGGCTGAGTATTTTAACAGTACTGGCACTTCAGGTAACTTTAAGCAAACAATTTCACATTCAAATTGAGGGATCAAAAATCTATTTTGCCTTAAAAATCTTAAATTTTAAGCACTCATATCTGCTGATCATTTTTAAACTAATGCTTTTATGTTTCTAACCAAGTTGGATATACTATTAACATTTTACAAGTGTTTATTAATTAAAATACCTCATTTTCATTGTGTGGTATTTAAAGAATATATAAATAATGCATTTTATATAAAACAAGCACATCAAAATATGACTACATAATCTTTCACCCTGTTTTTACATTTTTTTTTTTTGTGATGGATGCTTTGACTACATGTTTGTCTGTGTACCATGTGCATGTCTGAGGTTTGTGGAGGCGAGATGTGACCACTAAGCCATCTCTCCAGCCTCTCTTTCACCTTTTGTTCATAATCAAAGACAGGTGGCTTGATGAGATGGCTCAGCAGGTAGAAGCATTTGCCACCAAGTCTGACAACCCAAACTCAATCCCAAAGACCCACATGTCAAGAACTGACTCTCACAACTTGTGCTCTGACCTCCACACTCAATCTGTGGCATGCACACATAGCAAATTAATGTGTTTCTAAAAATTACAGGTACATGCTATGGTAGTTTCTATTTATCCTTGCATTCCTGTAGAAATGTTTTACATATGACTCTATCATCCCTGAAGAACACAGATTTTCTTTCCCCAAAATTCTTCCTCCCTTCCTCCCTTCCTTCCTCCCTTCCTCCCTTCCTTCCTCCCTCCCACCCTTCCTTCCTCCTAGACTTCCTTTGTAGACCAGGCTGGCCTCAGACTTACAGAGATCCATCTGCCTCTGCCTCCTGAGTGCTGGGATTACAGGCGTGTGCCACCGTGCCCAGCTTCCTAAAGTTTCTTATATAAGCTCTCTGATACTTTATTTACGTATGTTGGTCTATCATTATTAATAATGAAAAATTCCAATCTAAATATACAACAGAATTGGATGACATGTTCTATAACTACAGTTAGATTTGTAAAGCCTAGATAATGTGTAAGACACACATTGATGATGATAAGAGAAAAACTAGATTCTGAAATTACAAGTGTGGGACTGGGAACTGAGCTTCGTGATAGAGCACTTGCCCTGGATTAAGTAGATTCCCTGTTGCTACAACAATACATAGACACTCAAATTATATGGCTACAAGCCTATTAAACACATGGGCCACATTTTCCTGTGTTTATTTTTCTGATTGTTTAAGATCTGTTTCTAGTCATTGTCTGGGAGTTTTTTCCATTTCTACATTGAAATATGTCTCTAGTTATATATTTAACTATTTTAAACAAAATACTAACTTCATTTTAAGAAAACTAGATTTTCATGTCATTAAAACCTAAGTGAATTTGTGAATGGATCACTCTTAAGTTATTGTTGGGTGATTTTTTTGTACGCTATGTGAAGGTTGTGTTTGTACATTCAGTTGTTAATTCTGTACCTCCAGATGGCTGAATACTGTCCAGGACTTTGGTATTCTAATACTTGCTCAGCACCTGCATCATATTTTATAAACACTCCCTCCAACTCCTGATTGGTTTAAAAGAGCTGAACAGTCAATAGCTGAGATGGGAGGGGATGGGCAGGACTTCTGGCAGAGAAAGGAACTCTGGGAAAGGAAACTGGGGCAGGAACAGACATAGAGAAAGAAATAGGTGCTGAGGAGAGGTAGCAAGCCACGTGACAGGGTGTATATTAGTGTAAACGGGACAATTTAAGTGAAGAGCTAGTTGGGGAACAAGCCGGAGCTAAGGGCAAGCTTTCATAAGTAATGAAAGTCTCTGTGTCATTATTCAGCGGCTCCAAAGAAAGTCCTGTTATAAGTTATGACAGTATATTCTTAGATACAAAGTAAAATTGTTAGTGCCCTCCAGTGAGACACTCCAGGAAACACAAATTGAGTTTATGATTCCCTGAGGTAATGGAAGCCCTTGGGGTACCTCAGTAAGGAGGTGTTAGAAAGGACTTCAAGTGTTTGGGGCTGGCTTGTGTGACTTGAGGGTGTTTACAAGAAGTGTGGGCTTATTTTACTTGAAGCGGAATAGCTTCAAGGTGTTCTTAGTAAATCTTATCCAGGAGGAGGCAGCTTGGAGGAAGATTCACACTGTAATTGATAAAGCAATAACAGTTGCTCCTGTTAGCAGTGTTTGGCCTTTGTTTGTTTTTTTGTTTGTTTGTTTTGTTTTTTTGTTGTTGTTTTGTAGTTTGGATGTTGATGTTAGGTTGCAGAGAGGCCTGATTTTTTCTTGATTCCTTGTGATCTTAAAGAGTGACCTCTGTATCTACCTACAAGTCCAATGGCATCATTTGTGTTTAATAGCAGAACACCAAGGCTGAAACAGGAGTGAGGCCGGCTAAAGGCAACACCTTGGCTTAGCCAGTAGTCTTACGCAGCTTTTCTTGTCCGAGTGAAGAAAATAGGCCCTTTGTAAAAACTAGCCAACATTTAATCGATTGAAATTTGAATATTATCTATCCTCTTGTAGCAAGAGCTGAAGAACTGACAGTAAGGCCAGTTGCAAAAAAGGAGGAGAAAAATCCTTAATCGTACAAAATGATAATTTGATTAGTATAACTTTTCAACATTTAACTGTTTTCATCTATAAGTACTTCTCTCTGTTGCAGTAGAACCCATTGAAGGTTTCCAGTGCTCACCATACCCTGAAGTTGACCAATTTGTTCTGTCTTTGGTGAATAAACATGACATTCAAGGAGGTAAAGCTAGGCTTATTCTTTATTAACTCTTACATGACAGAGAGCTAGTTACTTGAGCAACATTCTTTACATTTCAGGAATTCGGCGTTGGAACTACTTTTTCCCAGAAGAATTACTGGTTTATGATATATGTAAATATCGCTGGTGTGAAAACATTGGGAGAGCCCACAAGAGTAATAACATCATGTAAGTAATATTGGTTATTCATGTATTGTATGCCTTTAACTCATATATTTTAAATATAATTTTTAAATAATGTTGGCAGTATAAAATAATTTATGACGTATTAATTTATATCCTGTATTTGGTTGATCTTTTATACTATCAAATTAATTTTTGGAGTTCCTGTTCCCTCCATGTCTTTCATCTCCATCTTTCATAAAATTCCCTGCATTCTGCCCAAAGTTTGGCTATGAGTCTCAGCCTCTTCTTCGATACCTTGATCAGTGGAGTCTTTCAGAGGCCCTCTGAGGTAGGACAAGATAGACAAACTAAGTCTTTTCAGATGTATTCATTTTTATTTCATGTGTATGAGTGTCTGCCTGCATGCGTGCATGTACAACAACCACCTATGTGCCTGGTGTGTGTGAGGCCGGAAGTGGAGGTACAGATGGTTGTGAGCTGTCATGTGGTGTTGACAAGAGCTGGGAGTGCTCTTAACTGCTGAGCCATACCTGCAGCCCAAACTAATGCATTTACATATTTTTTCAGAGATGTATTGTTATTTACGTGTGTGTCCCTGTGAGAGTCCGTGTGCACCATGTGCGTGCAGGTGCGCTCGGAGGCCTGTCAGATCAAGCTGCTGGCTGCTTCTATATTGTTTTAGTCTTCTCTCCTGACTTTTTACTGCGTTTTGTTTCGGTGGCTACTTGTTCTGTAGATTGCTAAGAGAATACATTGTTTTATCAAAGCCTTTTAAAAATTTATTTTTTATTAATTACAGTTTACTCACTTTGTATCCCAGCTGTAGCCCCCTCACTAAGCCCCTCCCAGTCCCACTCTCCTTCCCTCATCTCCCATGCCCCTCCTCCAGGCAACTGATAGGGGAGGTCCTCCTCCCCTTCCCCCTGACTCTAGCCTATCAGGTCTCATCAGGACTGGCTGCATTGTCTTTCTCTGTGGGCTGGTAAGGCTGCTCCCCCCTCTGGGGAGGTGATCAAAGAACTAGCCACTGAGTTCATGTCAGAGACAGTCCCTGTTCCCCTTACTAGGGAGCCCACTTGGAGACTGAGCTGCCATGGGCTACATCTGTGCAGGGGTTCTAGGTTATCTCCATGCCTTTTAAAAGAATTTCTTTAAATTTTTTTATTGTTTGAGACGTTCACACAATATATATTTTTATAACTAAATGTATTTTTTCCTTTTATTGAAAATAGGTGTTTTTTTCCTCCCACAATGTATCCTGATTACGGTTTCCCCTCCCTTTACTCTTTCCAGTTTCTCCCCACCTCCCCTTTTTCTGTCTTTCATTAGAAAACAGAGGCATACCTTTAATTCCAGCAGAGATAGGCAGATCTCTGAGATCTGCTTGGTCTACAGAGTGAGTTTTAGGGCAGAGAGGGATACACAGAGAAACCCTGTCTCAAAAAAGCAAAACAAACAAACAAAAAACAGGCTTCTAAAAGATAATAATAAAATATAATGTAATTGATATAATATATAGTAAAATAATAGAAAGATAAAGCAAAAACTAACACATTGGAATAGAACAAAACCAACTAACAGAAGGAAACGAGCCTAAGAAAAGGCACAAGAAACATAGAGATAGAGATCATTTGTTCACACTCAGGAATCCCATAAAAACACTAAACTAGAAGTGATAATACCTATGGAAATATATATGTATAGGATTAAAAGAGAGAAAAAATATAAATGAAACAAAAAAAATTTTAAAAGCGCAAAAGACAAGACAAGGAACCTTAGCGATCGATGCCTTTGAGTTCATTTTCTATTGCCGTCTATTGCTGGGCATGCAGCCTCGCCTTAAGAGTGTTTGCTTCCCCAGTGAGACTCCTTTGAAGGAAACTAAATTTTCGTTTGCGTATGGTTATCAGTTGGAGACTGCTCTAAGTTTAGGGATGGGGCTTGTGTCCACTCCTTTCATCTCTAGGAGCCCATCTGGTAGAGACCCTGCTGGCCCTGTGCATGCTGCCTCAGTCTCCGTGAGTTCTTGTCCTCATACAATGTATTTTAATCAATCATATTCATGACAATTCTTTCCCCAGATCATTCCAGATCAACCGCCACCTTCCTACCTTCCCATATATTTCTGAGTTTGGGGTCATCTGCTAGAGTGTAGTTGACCTACCAAGAGCTACAACTTTTAAAAACTGACTCTTGCCTCCTCCAGAAGCTATACACTGTCCATACCCGTCATCTAGGAGTGGGGGCTCATGAACCTCCCCCCAACCCATGACTCAATAATGACTAGCTTCATTTTGCACAGGTTTTGTGTAGCCAAACACCACTGCTGTGACTTCATGAGTCTAATGGCCCCTTCATGTCCACAAGACAGTATTTTGCAGCAGTCTTCCCAGACCTCTGACACTTACATGATACTTCTACCCCCTCTTCCACAGTAGCCTCTGAGCCTTGGGTAGGAAATGAGACATCCTGTTTGTGGCTGAACACTCCACTTACTCTCTGTACTCATCTCTGTGGGTAGGCTTGTCATCCTTACAGTGCTGTCCACTCTTTGTGTATTTTGAAACTGTGTTATTTTGGTGGATACAACTTTTTTACCTCTTGATCTTCCTAGAGACACGTCACTGTTGCTTTTGTCCTGCTCAGAAGTCCATTTGCATAGAGTATGTACTGATGTGTGCACACGCAGGTCGGTGCACATGTTGGGAGGCCAGAAAGAAAAAGCTTTAAGAGGGACTCCACATCCAGCGCTGGGATTATAAGACTGTGCTGCCACTTGTGAACTTTCTAAAAATGTGTGCCTGTGTATTGTGTGGTGTGCTTGTGTTTGTGCATGCCCTCATCCATGCATGCTCATGTGCAGACTAGAGATTAATATGGGGTGTCTTCCTCTGCAGCCTGCCATCTTGATTTTTTGAGGTAGCATCCCTCACTAAACCTAGAGCTTACCATTTTGGCCAGGCTGGCTGGCCGGCAAGCTCCTAGGATCTTCCTGTGTTCCCCTTCCAAGTCCCCCATCTACACACTGGGGCACATGCTGTGCCCTCAGTTTTTATGTGGCTCTTGGGATCTGAGCTCAAGTTCTCATACTCAGCTAACTCATACTTTCCCTACTGAGCCTCCTCTTGCTTTGTTTCCATGTGCATGCACAAGCGCTTTGCCCATGGAGCCTGCTCAGCCCCCATGAGTGTTATTCTTAGCAAACAGTTTTCTTTTGGCTATGCATATTTATTTTCATCCTTTAGCTTTTTAATTTTTCTTCATCTTTTAGGTCATAGGCACATCTCTGGCAAATAGCGTATGTTTGAACTTTATTTTCTGTCCAGTATGGGTATTAATGCTTTCCTTTCTTTATACATAAAGGATTCTGGTTGATCTGAAAAATGAAGTTTGGTATCAAAAATGCCATGACCCTGTATGTAGAGCACAAAACTTCAAATCTAACTGTGAGTTATCAATCTTTATGTTTACCACAAAGCAAAAATTAGATATCCACCTAAAAATATTTTTACTTTTTGATTCAGGTTTTCCATTACCCACTGAAGTAAGCCTCCTGTTTCTTCTGGAAGATGTGAGTGCAGCTCTTGGCCTTGGGTTTTGGTACATGGCATGAATGAACTACAAATAGTATCCTATGTCCAGATAGCTTTTAAACAGTGTGAGGCACTTGTGTTCACTCTGGAACATGTTGATGCTCTTCCCACCTCAGCGCCTCTGATAAAATGACCACTAGGAAAAAAACATACCATCCATCAGTTTAGTGCCAGTTTCTTCCAATTCACTTTAGAGTAAGCCAACGTACTTGTCTTAGTGCATCTCTTTGACCAACAGTAGGTACACTGGATTTCTATCTTTAGAACTGTGTCAAAGGGATACAGTTTTAGTTTTGGATATTACTAGCTTGCCAAACCAACTTTGTTGTTTTTTTTTGTTTGTTTGTTTGTTTGTTTTGAGACAGGGTTTCTCTGCATAGCCTTGGCTATCCTGGACTCGGTTTGGAGACCACACTGGCCTCGAACTCACAGAGATCCACCTGTCTCTGCCTCCTGAGTGCTGGGATTACAGTTGTGCACCAGCGCACCCAGCTGCCAAATCAACATCTAATCCAAATGATTCACAGTGTTTTAAAAAAAATTAGAAAGTACATAAAAAGCAGAAGTGGTTGGGCTGGGTGGATCATGATTAAGGGCACTTAGTGCTCTTGGAGAATAACCAGATTCAGTCCCCAGCACCCACATGGTGGCTCACAACCACCTGTCACTCCAGTTCCAGGGGATCCAATGCCCTCTACTGATTTCCACAAGCTCCTACATGCATGTAGTGCGCACGCACACACACACATATATACAAAAGATGCTTTTTAAAAAAGAAATAAAAGTAAAAAGGTAAAAAAAAACCTTCACAATAATTTGGCCAACCTGATGTGAAGGCTTTATCATAAATCTTCCATTATTTATTCTTGTGTGTGCTCATTTTGTAGTTTTTTTCCATGAGGTGTCAGAAACCTTTCCATTACTAGCTGTTACCAATTGCACCATGAAATCCTAGGCGGAAAGGTTATACAGGTGTTGATGAGAGCACCTGCTAAGTTTGCCAGCGCTGCTGACAGCCTTCGAGTCATCACCAGCCTAGACAACTGGCAAATTACTCGCCATTTGCAACTGTTAGTGAAGTTGTGTTCTTCTTAGGTTATTATTTGCATATCACATAACTTTCTATGTCCATTTTCTATATCTTATTTAATGCTTTTTGTCAGTATTTAGAATTTTTTTGTTTTTATTTTCACCTTAAAAAAAAAAAAACACATCTATCAGCACCTTCTTTCAGATTGCCATGGTTAGAATAAAGACCTGGTACAAGCTGAAAAGGTACTTAAATTTATATTATAGAAAACTGTCAGACATCCTTTGAAATCTGTATTTAAAATATCTTCTGAAAACATTACATTCAAAATTTTTGTGTGTAGGGGTGTTTTGATTGCATGTATTACCACATGTGTGCTTGGACACCAAGGAAGCAGAAGAAAGCATTGGGTTCCCTGGACTGTAGTTATAGATGGTTGTGAGGGACCATGTGGATGCTGGGGACTGACGCTGGGTCTTCTGGAAGAGCCGCAGTGCTCTTAACCACCGAACCATCTCTCCAGACCCAACATCAAAGTTTAAAGTGAAAACCCCATGCTTGGTATGTTGGAGTGGACATAAAAGAACTGATAGGCAGACTGCTAGGTTTAAAAGTGTTAGAAATAACTAGGAACAGATTAAAATTTTAACCTGTTAACATTACCATGTCTCCCTCATCTTTTTATATATGCATTTGTGTATATGCATGTACATACACAGGCAGGCCACAGGGACAACTTTGGGTGTCATTCCTCGGGAGCCGTTTCCCTCACTAGGCTGGTATTCCCTCAGGAGGCTTGGCTGGATGGCCAGCAAGCTCCAGGGATCTGTGTGTCTCTGCCTCCGCAGCACTGGAATTGTATGCCTGGCTTTTTATACAGGCACTAGGGATTGGTTTTGTTAACTTAGAAAAGGACTTCCAGCTTGCCTCCAACTGCCTATCCTCCTATTAGGAACTTACACCAACCTTTGCTGTACCTCCTCTGGCGATATTGAAAGGTCTCCCGTGAACTATAGGCAGTTTCAGCCTGCAAGTTTCAAGCATGCCTGCGCTACAAAAGTAACCACTTTTGAGCTAATTTACCCTTCCCTCACTGATTGCTGTCGACCACAGGCGTCTAGCATGTTCATTTGATTGCTGAAACTGGTTATTACTTCATACCTTAACATATTTGGAGTGTGTGGTGAAGTCACATATTCTGACTAAACTTCATGGCTTGGTCCTTCTCCCTCCAAAATGAAGGAAGAAGAGTTCACTGCCGATGAAGCAGATGAGACCAGCAACTCACTGACCAAGATCCCATCATCCAGTAACCTGCCAGCAGGCGGGTTCTCTGCTGCTGCCTGGGATGATGATGAAGATGCCTGTTTCTTAGAAGCAACAGAAGATGCTGAATTAGCTGACGCTGCAGATAAGAGTCTTCTTGATTACAGCAGTTCAGTGGACGATATTCCTGACGAACTAATTATAGAAGCATTACAGAGTAGCTGATGGGGCTACAGTTTGCCAGAAGCCTGAGATTTCATCATGTAAATATTAAACTAAGGTTGGGACTATGGCCCAAGGTTAGAATACTCACCTAGGATGTACAAGGCCCCACATTTAACCCTAACACCATAAAAAAATCAAATTATATTAACTTATTATTAAACCTGTTTATAGCAACTGTTTTATCATTTGGTTTTCTACTATTTGCTTTTTACCTAAGCCAGGCTTATTGAAGATCAGCTTTGACATACTGAATTCAGTACATGTTCCTAATTAACCAAAATTACTCTAAGCTTGCACTGACATCATTAACGTTTATTTTAAGTTAAAACTCTTATGTCACAAGAGTGAAGTTTATTAATGCAATAATCAGGAATATGACTGGCTTCTGAAACTATTAGACAATCAAACTGGTATAGTTTGAATGACAAAATAATAATAGATTCTGATGACTAGGCCACACTTATTTTCAGACCAGAAGGTTGGTTGTGCAGAGCACAGTTTCAGGAGGAGAGATGGCGGCAGGAGCCCCGGCTTCTCATTCCTGCTTAAGGAGCTTCTCCAGCTGATAGTTGATGGTTTTCAGGTGTTTTTCGGCTCCCAGAATGCTTCTTGCTTTAAATAAAAGAGCTGGGAGGCTAGACGAATCATACTGTTGATGAAAGAAAACTATTTAGACTCACAAATAACAATACTTTAGTAATTTCTTAGTTCATAACCCTAACGACCAAAGCCAATTTTGATAGTTTCCCACCGGCTCATTCCTTTTAACTAGGATCATTAGGAAAACAGGTTTCAGCCCATCCCATCTCCTCAGAACATAACTGCTAATATAACATCATGAGGAAATGGCTCAACAAAGCTTGAGCAGATCTCTGTACCCCAGGCAAGACCAGCTGCTCCAAGAACTGTGGCATCTGCAAGACTGAAATGGCAAGTCATACTCAAACTTGGACTAGGAAGTATGGGTGGCATGTTGGGTCTATCTGATCTCATCTATTTTGAAACAGGAATTTCTAAAGCAAGTTTTGTTTTACTGAAAGAATGAATGGGATGAGAACAAGTACCTGTTAAACTCTTAGTGAAACAATCTCAAAGATATCATTTAGAAAGTAAGTTATTGGGTCAGTTACACCTTAAAGGTGCCATCCAAATGTCTACAACGTTACAATACAAACCCATCTAAATTAGAACACAGGACCCAACTCAGGACTTAGAAATAACTAACAAAACCAAACTTCCTCTTGCAAACATGTGAGGGAAATTAATTCCTCTTAAATAATTTTCCATACTTTTGAAAGCTTGCTGGCAAATGTGATTCCAAGGTATTTTTCTTAATGATGAAAACTGAGCAGAAAAGCTGTTTGACAGTGGTGATTACCAGCCCTCATAATGATGGGATTTCTTTTCTTCCACATTCATACTATATTATTGGAGAATTCAACTGAGCAGATGTTGAACAGCCTACATTCAGAACACCTCAAGTACCCCCTCTCTAAAAGGAGTTGGGAGAATTCCCTTAGAGCTGTGGGGTTTTCTTAGAAAGACTTGTGGCCTATCCAGATGTCACAGGAAAGAAGATAGGTGCTACGGGCACTGAGGATATAAACTTCTTTTGTGAGAGCAGTGTGTTTCAAAGCAGTTCCTACAGTTTGGTTTTCAGGCCTTGGCTAGACCAGAGAGGGAGAGCATTTGCCTAGCACGTGCGAGGAGAAACAAGATCTCAATAGCAGACTATCTTTAGTTCAGATCCATGCTACTATTTTTTCACAAACTTAGTAATCAAATCCCCAAAACAAACTTTAGATACATCTTTAAAACATATTTTTGTAGCTCCAATAGATGAACAAATCTTTAGCTCAGGAAAACTCAGATCAATGCCAGATCTGAATTTAGAGGCAAAGTATACATACAAACCTGATCATGAGATACATAGAGACACTGGTGTATCTCTATCATATTCTATACATATGATAGAGACACTGCAATATGATATATATTCTATACATAATCCTATTAGTACAAGTCTATATACAATTCTATTAATGTAATCCTATATACAATTTTATTAGTATAATAATACTTTTCTGGTTCTATTAGGTATACAAATTTGTTTTTTTTGTTTGTTTGTTTTTAGCAAACATTTCTATTAACCGGGTATCACAGCAATAGCGAAGTCCCAGAGGCAACTTCAAAGTATTAAAATAATAGTAAACTACATTTTCCCAACTGTCTTACTGTTTCTCACCCTCTCAAGCCACCCGTTATTTCCGTGTGACAGCTTCTAAAGCGTGAACACGGTGGCTGGCCTTTACAACACGTCTGAGTGAGCAGTGTACTGATGGAAACTGTGATAAGGCAGAGTACGGTTGTCAGTGAGAGCTGTGCACAGCACACACTGCCCTCGAAGTGCAGTTCTCTGAAGGGGGACTAGGAGTAATGTGGATTCCTCTGTCCAGTCAGTAGCTAGGAGGTGCTGCAGTCTCCTGACTGACGTACAGTACTGCTGTTGGTTACCTCTCTTCAGAACTACTGGTACACTACACGCAGATGGCCGCATCGCCCTCTGCCGCACAGCAGGAAGAGAACAACAGAACTCACCTCTTCCTTTTCCTTTGGTTCACTCTCCTGAACATCCGAATAATCCTGGTGTAGCTGTTTTAAATTAGATAAGAAATGCGCGGAATTCTTAAGTGATGCTTTTCTCTCCTTAAGGTCATCATATTTTTTTTGCAGCTGTTTCATTTGTGGTTCTAATCTAGATAACAAAAAATGTTAAATCTTAAAAAACAAACTGTAAAATCCAAATTAATAGAAATATATGTATTGTTCATGGACTGAAATTAAAGTGCCCATATTACAGAGAACAGAAACCTGAACCAAAGGTAACTAAAACATTTTCTCCCATATAAACAGCATGTAACACAGTCTGGCAGTCTACAGTGCATGAGCATGAGCTCCTGGGCGAGGGAAGAAAAAACCAGAATGGGGCCAGGTGGTCTGCCTTGCCTCTCGTGGAACGTGTAAAAGATGCTAGGATTCCATTCATCTCAATTCTGATATGCGATTAGCAGCGACAGCCTTGGAGAACATGCCTCACAGATGCCGAAATTCACCAAGTCATTCAAGTCCCAGGAACTACTGGATTAAACATAAATTTGCTAACATATTCTGGGAGTAGGCAGGAGTAGCCGGCATGACAATTTAAAGAGGAAGTCAGGCAGAAAGTTATTAAACTCCCCAGTTTCCAAGGCCAAATAAAATCAGCAGAAAAACTGCCACAGGGCCTGGGTAGAAGATGTGTGACAAATAATTTGTCTCTCTCAAAATCCTGTGGCAGTCACTTTAAAACCTAGTACTTAGCTGGGCATGGTGACACACACCTTTAGTCCTAGCACTTGTGAGGCAGAGGCAAGCAGACCTACAAGAGTTCAAGGCCAGCCAGCGTGGTCTAAAAAGTGAGGTCCAGGACAGCCAGGGCTACCAGAGAAACCCTGTCTTGAAAAGCAAAACAAAACAAAATTACTTAGCATTTCAAATGTTTGCTGACATATCTCCGCTCTACTCAAGCCTCCTGCTATCACACCCCGCTTATAATGAGGCAGGTGCTCAACCACTGAGCTACACAGTCAGCCTGTCCAAGCTCTTTTAAAGCATCTTGAGAGCATGGCAAATTCTACACTTAAGCCTCTGAGCACTCCATACCTCAGCAGGCCAAAATGTACACACAGGCGGCCAGACTCTGCACCAGCCTTCTGACCCAGGGCATGGGAACTGGCCCCAGCCCTAGACCTCGGAATAGGGACTGACGTGAGTGTCACTCTAAGTGTGTACCTCGCTGAAGAGCCAGTGACCACTGCCTTACAGAGCAAGACCATCTGTCAAAAGTAAAACAAGCAGCAAGCAACATAAGCAGAACCTTCCGCATCAAGTCCTGCAGAGAACCCTTCCGAGGCTTACTCACTGACTCACACAACACCCTCTAAGAAACAGGTCCAAGTATGCCCATTTATACAAAAGGACTGAGGCCCTGGGAAAGTCAGGAACTCCCCCGCTTGCAATCAACGGCAGAGCCTGATTCAAGGTCCAGGCAGTCTAATCCTACAGTCTGCTCATTAAAGCTGTAACGAGGCTGCCTGAGGCCAGACCAGAGATGCCGATCAGAGCTGACGGTCCTCTACAGCACTCTGCTAAGAGACAAACTCCACTGCCCTTTAGGTGAGCTGTCAGCAGGAGCAAGTATTATCTTACCGAAGCAGTTCATCCTGGACTTCAACCAAACGCCGCCTTTTCTTGTCCATGTCGGCAATTATCTGAGCAATACAATGACATACTTAGGTTAACACGGTAGAAGTTTCAACACTTCTGCTTACCTGAATGAGGCTCTGAAAGCACAGAAACAGGCAGATGGGCTGCAGCTTAGTGGGAGTCTCTGAAGAGGACAGGAACAAGGACCCTCCCCCTCTTGGTTGGTGTGTTTAGCAGTTTCATTTCACTATAGGCCCATGGGTACCAGACTCATGGCCTGGAACTTCTGAAAATGAGCCCAAATAACCTTTCCTCTTTCTGAGTTAATTGTCTCAGGGGTTCAATTAGAAGGCAGAGGGCTAACAGACAGCCCCAGTCTTTAGTCCCCATTAACCTTACAAAAGCAAATTAAAGCTGCCCAAAGCCACAGAAGCCCTTCTATAAAACGCAGCTTATAAAGTAAACTGAAGGTTATACAAAACCGGAGGACTTACCTTGGCGTTCTTCCTTTTCAGAGCCATCAGCACCTGGCCTTCTTTAAGCTACAATGACAACAAAAACAATATCTAATTTTCCAGATTTAACTGTTTCAAGTTCCAAATTTAACTGTTTCAAGTTCCCCATGAGAAGGCGCTGGGGAGGTCCCAGTCAGTAAACTGCCTGTCAGGAAAGCAAGGGGGCCCAACTTTGGATCTGCGGCACCAGCACATTTGGCTTATAGAAGGTGCTGGTGGAGATGTGCTGGTCTTTGGGGCTCGTTGGCTGGCCAGCCTAGTGAGAGCATGATCTTCCGTTCAGTGAGACTTTGTCTCAAAAAGTAAGCTGTAGAGCACTTGAGGAAGGTACTCCGCATGGGCCTCTGGCTCCACATATATGCGCACATGCGATTCCACATCCACACACACAGAGAAATAAGGGCAGCTCTCATGTGGTTATTGTCACAGAGCCAAGCAATGCAAGTGCTTCTACAGCCACGGGTCACTGTCCAAACTTTAGTTTAAAAAGATATGGAGCAGCCAGGCCTATCAGCACACACCTTCAATCCCAGCACTTGGGAGGCAGAGGCAGGTGGATCTCTGTTGAGTTTGAGACCTGGTCTACAGAGTGAGCTCTAGGACAACCAGGACCAGATAGAGAAAACCTGTCTCAAAATAGGTAGGTAGGTAGGCAGGCAGGCAGGCAGATACACAGACAGACAGATAAATTTAGAGTAACAGAATATGTCAGTGAACTTACCATTCTGACGAGTTCCTCTTTAATTTTAAAATAAAATTTGTTGATGGCTTGATTACAAATTTCAGAGTCTACTCTTTGTCTGTAAATTTTTTTGAAAAAAAATCAAAATCAGTATCAAAAAGGACTCTGAAAGATGCATTTCATTTATGTGATACATAAGTACATACAGTTTGGCATATATTGTTTAAATACCTAAGAGCAATGTAAAACCTGTAGCTTTTTCTCATGCTTACTAAAACTGGGGATAAGAGAGGGGAAGGGAAAGTGGGCAGGGCGAGAAGGGACACTGTCAACACGTTTGGAGAGAAGAAACCTGGTGGGTGGGCTCTTGGAACCCGGAGGCAGACACAGCAACTGCTTCTGGGTCTCTGGCCTATCTGAAGGGAGTTGTCAGCTGACTGAAGGTGGGACCCTGAGCATTCTAGAAAAGCACTAAAACTGCTGGGCCACACCCCAAGCCCGGGTGTTTTATCTGAGCTTTTTGAGTTCTTTGTAAATTCTGGGTAACAGTCTCTTTCAAAAACATGATACTTTTATAATTTCATACATACACATGCTGTTTGATCAGAGCTCCCCATTACTCGCTTCTTCCCTCCCCTCTCCCATCACATAGCTGTTCTTTTCAAGTTCCCTTCCTACTTTCCTGTCTTTTGTTTTTGGTGATCTACCTAATGGAATTAGGAATGTCTGCTTGAGCATGGGGTGGGAACAAATAAGTTCTTGCAAAGATTTTCTCCCACTCTGGGGACTGTCTTTTCATGCTTGAACGTATCTTGCACACATACAGAAGAAATTATTAACTCAAGTCCAGCTTGTGCACTTCGATGGGCTGTGTGTTCTTACTGTAGTCCCGTCATTATCAAATCCAAGGTCAGTCAGGTTTTCCTTTAAGTTCTGGGAGTCCTGTGGATTTACACTGAGGTTTGTGATCCAATCTGAGTGAAGATTGCCAAGGGGCAGTGTTTGTTGTTTATCGAAGTTTAGAGACAGGGTTTCACATGCAGACCAGGCTGGCTTCTGCCTCCAGAGTCCGGGGGTTACAGGTGTGCACCACACGGCCAGCCCTGTGGCACCATTTGATTCAGACTGCCTCCGCTGTGCTGTCTTTGCTCCTTTGTGTTGGCCGGCTCCGTATGGGCTCTGTTATTTTCAGCACTACGATGCTGCACCCACTACCACACCTTATAATGAGGTTTCTCAACTATTACGCCAGCTATTCTCAGTCTTTTGCCTCTGCATGAATAGTAGGATTGGTTAAGAAGATTGGTCTGATGCCTGTTATTGGCCCTTAAGATCCGTTTGTACCTATCTTTCTTTTGTAAACCTGCCTAAGACATATCTGACTGGTTGACTAATTCAATAGCCTATACCTGGCAGGGCAGAATAGGATAGGTGTGGATAAGGTTACTGGGCTTTTGAGTTCAAGAGAGAATCACAGGAAACAGACAGGAAGAGATGAAGAAGGAGGACACCATGATGGGTTAGTGAGGAGAAGAAATCATATGGGCCTGAAGGAAGGACTCCAGTAATGGCGTGGAAAGGCCCAGATGAAAAATAAAAGTATTTATAAAATTATGGATGGAAGATAGTTCTGATGAGGAGGATTAAGGTAGATGGCACTGGATGAGGACCGGGAGATGGATAGTGAGGTTAGTGAGCCAGTGTAAGTAAAACATCTGCTCAGCCCAAGGTAAATGAGGCAATTATAAATCTAACGTGTTTGTGCCTTATTATTTGTAATAGTATATTAAATAATACCACCGGGAAAATCTTAGGGCTAATACTAAACGTTATATAGCCCAACAGCACATTTTTTTTATTTATTACAACACCACCCACAACAGAGTTTGCTGGGATTTTGAGGCTGCCCAGCTCGAAGGCTGTGAACAACTGACACGTTGACAGTCCTGAGTGCGTTTATAAGTGAGTGATACTGCTGCGTTTCTGTACTTATTTGGACATTTCTTCCTTCGGCTCTTAGGTAAGTTCCTTATTTGGGGCATTACTTATGTAAGTGGAGCTATGGTTTTAATTTCAGATTCCACAAGTTCATGCAGTGCCATGCACTGTTCTTTCAAAGTCTCAAAGGGAAAAGAACTAAAAAGTTCTTTTCCCTTATGTGCTATGCTAGCTAAGACTTTCATCGTAATGTTAGACTTAGTGCTGAGAGGAGACGACTCTGCTGCTTCCTGATGATGATGGGAAAGTGTTTTTAGTCTCCCATGTGAAGCACACCAGCTCTAGTTCCTTACACATAATTCTTTATCAAGTTAAAGCAGCTCACTCTATCCAAATTTTACCCAAAGACAAAATCATGAACGGGTATTGGGGTTTTTTCAAATATTTTACCTGAACTTAATACATGATCGTGTTAACTTTTTATCTTTAGCCTGTAAATTTTTATTTTACTTTCTAAAGTTGAATCAGTCTCGTATACCTTAGATGAATCTTACTTGTTGGATTTACCTATTTTTAATACATTGCTGAAATCAATTCACTATTACTTTGTTGAGGATTTTGCAACCGTTTCTTATGGAAAACAGAGACAGATCTCCGAGGTTATGATTTCTTCCTGTGTTTTTGGCTGATTGCATCCACTTCACCCGAGTGCCTCTGAACAGCAAATGCACAACCAAAGCATGACAACACAACCCACAGAATGAGGGAAAACATCTGCAAACCACATATCTCATAAAGGGACAATATCTAAAATACATTTGACAATCATTCAACCACATACACAACACAGTCCAACTTAAAAAGTGAGCGAAAGGTTTGAATGGCATTTCTCCAAAGAGGATAGAGAAATGGCTACCACGTCACAGAGACGAGCTTCATCCGCATCCACACGTGTGCACTAAGCACACACGGAAGGTGGAGATGCTGGAAGGTGGCGGCGGCAGTGTGCGCATGCTCATGCTTTAGCAGGGCCGGGGGAGGACAGCAGGCGTCCTCCTCTACCGATCTCTCCCTCATTCCTTAATTCAGGATCTCCCACTAAACCAGGACCTAGACCGGAGGCAGAACGTCCCAGCTATCCCCCTGTCTCTATGCTGCACAGCTCTGGAGTTACAGCTTTTCATGTGGACTCTGGGATCCGAACTTGGGTCCTTATGCTTACACGGCAAACTTTCTAATCTACTGACCCATTTTCCCAGTCACTGAGGGGAGAACTATAAAATGGTATGAGGTTCTCAGAAAAAACATTGAGACAGTCTAAAAAAATAAAAACAAATATCATGTAGAGCAGCAAGTCTACTTCAGACTATTTATACAAAAAACCTAAGAGGAGGGACCAGAATACACCAATATTCATAGAAGTATCTGCTGTGGGGAGGAGAAAGGGGTCAACTATTTTAATGGTTGCAGATTTTCAGTTTTGCTGAAGAATGCTGCACGAAGTGCAGATAGCTAGCCGTTCCGCAATTTAAAAGTGGTTCATGGTACATCACATTCTCCTTGTGTTTGTACAGTAACAAATTACTTGCATACTTCATACTATCCGGATAGCTAAAGGAGTACTATTCCAAGTGTGACTAAACATGTCTCTGCTCACAGAAAGATGGGGTTTCCTGGGTAGACAGCATCATGGCCAACGTCTTTAGAGAGGGTGCAGCAGAGAATGAGGGGATAGGGCAGAGGACAAAGTCTGAGATGAAGAAGGTTAGTAGATGGGATGGGATGGCTGGCTTTGTCAAGCACACACTCTAGAATCATCTGGGAAGAGTTATCTGCCCACAGGATCACCGCATCCTGGGGAATGCCTTTGAGGGATTTTTAGGGAAGACCCATCCAGAATGTAGGCGGCACCATTTCACAGTGGGGCCTGGATGGTACAAAGTGGAGAAAGCCAACAGAATTAGCAACCTGTCTGCATTCATTCTGTCTGCTCTGGCCTGTGGAAGTGACGACCTGCTTCAAGTGCCTGGAGCCCTGATTTCCTCACAATGATGGTCCACAACCTGGAACTGTGAGGTGAAAGAACCCCCTTCCTCCTGAGTTGCTTCTCACGGTATATTATCAGGGCAACACACAGGAAACGAGGCGGTGGTGCAGGTGCTCCTCATGTCCGCCAGCATTCTTCTATAGCAACGGTAAGAGTGCCTCCCATGGACCCTACCCGCGAGCTGGAGACCGCAGTCCACGGACTTCACAGGGTACCCTTACAGCTAGCCTTAAACACCCTTACTGAGCTGCTAAGTCCAAGGCCAGGGTGCCAGTAGTGGGGAACCACACTTGTGGCTCATGGCAAGGAAGGGCGTTCCTCCTTGGATTGTCAGCCTGCCTTCCTAGAAATTTTCATGATGCTTTCTCTTCCTTCAGGAGGCGAGCGTTGGGGGCATCTCCCACAGCAGCATGAGAGGAAACAACTTGGTCTCGTGGCAGAGCTGGGGAGGATTACTAGCCCAGATGCAGAGCGGCTCAGAGAATACTGATGTTTGCATTGTCCCACGCCTCCCCAGCCGCTCCACCCAGCCCTGTAGCTTCTGCCCATCTCCTGAGCTGCTCTGCCTGCATTCTGCTGATGCCATGTCCCCATGGAGGTGCCCACTCTGACTCCCTGACTGCTGCCTCAGTGGGTCTTGTTCTCAGGAAAGCCAGATGCATTCACAGCTGGGTGTGACTAGTCTGCATCTCTCAGACCCGCCTCTGCCAGGCTGCATTTTTAAAATATTTCTGTTTAATATCTTACATTTTAAGAATCACTCTCTCCAGGAAAGATCAAAACCAGATTTGGGCTGCTGGAAAATAAGTGAAATCAGACTGATTCAGCTGTTTTTTCAACTTTCCCTACCCCAGGCTGGAGGAAGGCAGCTGAAGGTATGCGCCCAGTGAAAGAGTGAAGCCCAGACGTAGCTAGCTGCTGTTCCTCGCCGTCATGACGGAGGCTGTGCAGCTGTGGGCTTCCCCCAACACTCTTCTCCCAAGAGCTGGCAGGGGCTGGAGTATGGCCACACTTAGCAAACCCTGCCTGACCAAGAGAAACCAACAGCAGCAGAGAAACAGATTTCTAGATTAAATTAAAAGTCTGTGAGAAACGTCTAGAATAGATGACCGAATAACCTGAAACCAGCATAAAATAAAGTAGGTAAACGAATTATAGTGAAAATGTAAAGACATCTTAAATGCATTAGTACAGAAAACTAGGATGAACACAGTCGTACTGTGAGCACAACTGATCAGGTCCACGTATTACAACATCAAAGGACTCACTTATACTCCAGGAAGGTTTTCTCAAATACAGACAAAATGACATCCAACTCCATGATGTCGCTGCATCTCTTTCCTTCTAGACACCAAATATGCATAGTTTCAGAAGCACCTAGAATATTAGGCACATGTCAGTTGAATACACTCATTATCATACCCAGCTCTAGGTCCAGGGCTGCGAAACGCTGAACGACACTAGTCCTACCAGAGTGTGAAAACAGCCATCCTCATGTCTTCCCATGCCAGGGCAGGGTCTGCTGGCCCTGTCCACTGTCACCCCTTACTGTGTCCACTGCCAGCTTTTTGAGACGGGGTCCCATACTGATGTGCTGCAGCGTGGGGTCTTCGTTCAGCTATGTAACCCTGGATTCACGTGGTCACGTGCTGTTGCTGTTTCTATTTTAATAGGCTTTTAAACGGTGCGGCATACTGTAGGAGTTCTCAGTGACTTGGGAAACGGGGACATAGCTACCCTAGGACTCGACACCTTCACTCTAATCCTTTGGAAGGAATAAAAACATGCTGGTAAAATTGTACATAAAAATGTTCACGGGGTGGGGGCTGGAGATGAAGCCCAGTGCACTTTCCTAGGATGGGTAATGCCGGGAGCTCAATCTCTAGAACTCCAAGGGAAGAAAAGAAAGAAGGGGGGAGGGGGGAGGAGAAAATAGAGGAGGTGGGGTAGGTCATACAGGATTTATTTAGCACAGCCCAAACCTGAAAACTCAGTGCCCACCAGCAAGTGTAGTGAGCAGGTAGAGACTACAGCATGTAATTCCATCTACATGGCTTTAAAAAAAAAAGAGTTATCTTTATTTTTATTACGTATATGTGTCTGTGGGAATGTATGCCGGCACCTATGGAGACCAGAAGAGGGCACTGACCCTGGAACTGTGGGAAACTGCCTGATGTGGGTGTTGGGAATTGAGAGGGAAAAGAATGGGGACTGGATTTTATGAAAGCATATTATGTGCATGTATGAATATTCCCTTGATAAGAATTCATGACAAAATGATAAAAAAAAAATGTTACCCCAAAGTTGCAATTTCTTAAGTGGCAGTTTCAGCCAGGGTGGTGGTTTAGCTCTAACACTCAGGAGGTAGAGGGAGATGGATCTCAGTGAGTTCGAGGTCAGCCTGCTCTATGCAGTAAGTTCCAGGACACCCAAGGCTACATAGAGAGACCCTATCTTGAACCACCCCCAAAAAATAAACCCATTTGCTATATCAACAACGAAGACAACTTAAAAACAGGATGTTTTTGAAACATCTTGTCCAAGCGGCAAAGCATAAAGCACCATTCTGTACCCGAGTCTGTGCCTTCACGTCTTGATTTCTTCCTTCTGCCAGGAGACAGCCTCACTTTCTTCTGCGTTTTCTGCCAAAAAACAAAACCAAACAGTATGGCCTTTTAATTTAGGAAAAATACTTTTCTTTGACATCTGAAGATAACAACATTATCAAACCACCAACCGATTTTACTATAGCTCTTATTCAGTTCTTCAGGAAGATTAAAGAACAATCTCAGGTCAAGGAGACCCCAATACACGAAGCAACATAAAGCACATTGGGGTTATCCCTGGTTACACGGCAAGTCTAAGAACAGCCTGGGCTACACGAGACCCTTTCTCAAAAATGAAACATAGCTTAGTTGGTGGAGTATTTGCCTAGCATGTACAAAGCCTGGGTTCATTTCCATCACATATACTGGGCAAGGTGGCAAAGCCTGTAATCCTAGCACTCACACTCAGGAAGTAAAGGTACAAAGATCAGCCCTTCAGGGCAATCCTTAGCTATGTAGTGAGTTCAGTGCTGCCCTGGGCTTCTGAGACCACAACCCACAAAACACAAACAACAAAATAACACATTAAAAAAAATGTACAATGAGTTTTAAGACAGTAATAAAAGCATACCCAATATATAAGTCAGAACTAACGGAAGTGTTAAAAAGCATCAGAGTCTCAGAGTGCAGTGTTTTATGATCTAAATATGTATAATAAAAAGTTCACAAAGAGGGTCTGGAGAGCCTTCATCACGGCTCAGTGATGAAGAGCACTGGCTGTTCTTCCAGAGGACCAAGATTTAATTCCCAGCACCCACATGGTGGCTTACAACTGTCTGTAGCTCCAGTTTCAGGGGATCTGATGCCCTCTCCTGGCCTCTGTGGGTACCACGGCATTCATTCATGTGGTATATAGACACGTATGCAAACAAAACACCCAGACACATGTTAAAAGCTGAAAAAGAAGAGTAAGAATTGGACAGAAAATTTGTATTTGAACAATGACTACAGCTTCCATAACAGAGGTGTGAGAAGCTCGGCAATCCGTGTTCAAGCAAAATGCAGTGTGATATACATGAAAGCATGTCACACACAGTTCACATGTGAAACTAAGATGAAGGGAAAGCCTGATGCCAGCAGAGACAAGGGGCACTGTAAGTACATGACAAAACTTTCAGCAGGACCATGGGAAACCGAAGCTGTCGTGACAAACTTGAAGAGCTGAAGGGAAACTTGTCAACGCAGAATTCTGTACTGAGGCAGATTCCCTTAAAAGGCAGAGGTGAATAAAATACGAAATACTGTCAGCAAACTCTGGAAGACTGTCATCAGGAAACAAAGTGAGGGGCTCTATAGGCTGTGGGGAAGGAATCAGGTGGGAATTGGAAAGGAAATGTGGGAAAACAAAACAACAGGATCCTTTTCCAGTTTCTAAAAAAGGAAACCATTTCAAGCAAAAATGATAACCCAGTAAGGTCAGAGTCATAATATAGGCACAATAAACAGAACTAAAAATCAGAGAAGAATGGAAAACAGGAATTTTCACAGTTATGTAGTTACTTTTCCCTGACAAGTTGCTTTCAGCTAGAAAGGAGGAGGGGACACACAAACAGACTTCTAATTTAAAGAAATCTTCATTTTAATCTAGGAGAACTACAAACACACACACACACACACACACACACACACACACACACACACAAAATACAAGCACAGGCAATTCACAAAGAAAGAGAATCAAATACCAAAAATATTACCTCAGAATTACCAACAGAGGAACAAACTTGCTCTCTCCCAATCACCCCCCGCAACCAGAAGGAACAGATGAAAATAAAAAAGACTTACACCTAACTATATCAACACGTATATAAAAAGTGACTTAACCAGAGACTCCAGTTCCAAGGCAGAGATTGTCAGAGTGGATACGGAAATGCTGTCTATGAGAAGAGACCTGGGGGAAGAGTGACATGCAGCTGAATGCTAAAGGCACCAAGTTTCATTTAGGAAGAAGTTTTTGAGAACTACTACTACACAGCTGGATAGCTACGTTCAGTAAGAATAGACAGCGGCTAAAAGTGAAATTCAGGTGTCTCACCACATGTGTTAGCTGCATTTTTGTGGCTGTGATAAAACACCATGACCAAGGCAATTTATAAAAGGGTGTGTTTGGGGCTTACAGTTTCGTAATGGTGGGGGCAGTAGACACAGCGGCTGGAGCTGGAAACCGAGAGCTCGTATCTCAAGCCACAGACAGAAAACAGACAGTGCACTGGACACTGGAAACCAGGCATGACTTTTGAAACCTCACCTCCAGCCAGGCCACACCCCTAAGCCCTTCCAAACAGTGTCACCAACTGAGGACCAAGTATTCAGATGCTTAAAAACATGGCAGGCATCTCCTTCAAGCTACCACACCACAGAAAAAGGTAACGGATATATTAGCTTGATCTTATCATCCCACATAAGCCATCTCATTGTGTCCCACGAAGACAGCCAATTAAGATTTCTTGATTTTAAATGTCCACGGTAAAAGTCTTCAGGAAAGAAACAGCTTAAATCCTCAAGGAGGCGGTGTATAGCAGCACATGCCCGCAGTCCTGGCTACTCAGGAGGTCAGGCAGGTCAAGATCAATGGAGCCCATAAGTTCAAGAGCAGCCTGGGACACCACAGAACCTGATTTCAAAAACTCCAAATCAAAACAAAAAGAAATTCAAAGAACTAAAGAAAATCTATAAAACTGTGATGCTAAAGAGAAAACAAAAAAACAACCCCATCTCTTTTACTGATCAAAGAAACCACCAAACATCACTAAAACATAGCAAACACAGTAAGAAGACATATCTGAACTACACTGTCCATCGACACACTTCACCTGACAAGTAGAAACACCACAATCAACAGCAAAGTCAAGCACAGGGTGCACTTACTTACTGTGAGAGACCCCTGGGGGAGAAAAAACCTACACAATTAGTGCTAAGTGAAACAGCACGTTTATAGGAAGGCGCTCCCATGGAATGACCCTTCCCAGCGAGCTTGTAGAAGAGCAGCCTCACAGTCGTAGCCAGTCTTCGTCAGCCCTGAAGGGGGACAGAGCACCGCAGCATGGGCAACATGATGTGGCCAGAAGGGGACAGAGCCTCTGCTTCTTCAAATCCCCAGGAGCGGCCCCGGAGAGACGGCCACTATGTAGAAAATGGCAGAGCCTTCAGTTTATGAAAAGCAAAGGGGTTTCAGGGGAATGAACAAGCCTCGCATGACAACCTGGCCTGGCCCCTGTGTCCAAAGGGCGTGGAGGCAGTGCTCGTTAGGGCCAGAAACTAACCCTGCAGCTGCAAAGGGAAGGGGCTACAAGGACACAGCGTGCTTTCTTACCAACTGTCCCAGGGCTCTCTGCTCAGAGCTGCAGAAAACACGGCCTGACCTCTGGGAAGGAGAAGGCGGCAGCTGAAGGGTCTGTCGGTAACTAACAATATTCATCTGCTTATGCAACAAGTGCTGATAAAAGTAAACAAATATTTTGTTTGGTCTGTATACAGAAGGGAACCCTGGAAGACTGTATAAGAAATAATCCATGAGGCCATCCATCTGTGGTTAGTGCCTGGCAAGGGAGAAAGGAGAGGCAGGAGGAGCAAAGACATTACTGTATTTGCAACTATTTTCAAAGATGAGAATGAATTATTTATCTACACTAATCAGCCAAGTAAATTAATAAAACAATATAGAAGAATATGAACCAAAAGATACTATACTTCAAGTACCTTGGAAACAAATGTGATCCATAGCATTTTGTTCTAAGGAAATGAATCAATGGTTCATATTCTTTGTGTTCAACAGGATGTTGATTCAACAGAACACAAAGATTCTGTTAAATCTCAGAGAAATCCATCATTGAGCAGGTTGTACTAATGCGTAAGCATTTAGGAAAATACACACACACACACACACACACACACACACCTAATAACTAACAAAAAAAGAAGCCATGTATTTAAAAAAGAGCAATGGGGTGGGTGGGAGAGCTTGAAGGGAAGGGAAGGGAAAAGGATATGATTATATTATTATTATATTATAACCTCATCAAAATAGTAATTTTTACCAATAGATACAATGGGTATCCACGAACAGAGTGCAAGTTAAAATGATGCTGTTGGATTCTTAGTGACAAGCAGACGGTGAGGAAAGGCTAGGGGAGAACCGTGGAGTGCAGAGCAGGACAGACACTGTTCTGGGTTATGGAACTGTAGATACATGCACCTTCCTTTCTGGATCGTCTAGGTTTTCTAAAGAAAACACTGCTTTCTGTAATGAAAGCTTGAAACTTATTTTTTAAAATCAAAGGAAACCTTTCATCTCCTCCTTAATCTGCTCAATGAAGTCTTTTCTCGCCGAGGGGCAGACGGCAGACACTGCTCACCAGCTGTCTGTGTGCTGCTTGGGCTTCTTCTACAGCAGAGGTCCGAGTGCTGTGGGGCCTTGTCCTCCTGGGCGTGGCGCGTTCCTCTGGCTTCTCCGGGGGTGCTGAAGACACTGCAGGAGGCACAGCCCGGTGCGGCTCCTCAACTGTTCTGTCTGCAGACTTCACTCTCCTCTTCTGGTCATCCTCAGAGCTGTCAGGCTCGCTGCTGACGGGCTTCGGCTTTCTCCTGGGCTACGAAGGAAATAGCAGTGCTGTTTAGAAAACTCAAATCTTTAATTCTTTAGTGTCAGGGAACTACAAAATCCCCATTTCTCATTTATAAACATCAGAACTCAACGGAACATCTAGAAGACAGCATGGTTAGAATGGCACCTAATTCTCTCTGCCCTTGAAAAACCACAAACTGAACACATCAGAATGAAATAGAAACTGACTGGGTAAAGAGACGTCTGTGAATTCTTTCATAACATTTCAGAAACAAAAATATTTTTCCTGGCTAGAGTGATAGCACAGCAGGGAAAGGCACTTGCCACCAAGGCTAATGATCTGAGTTCAATCCCCCCATATGGTGGAAGAGGGACTCTGACAAGTTGTCCTCTGACCTCCAAACACAGCTTCATGCACTTGTCCACATACATACATACATACATACATACATACATACATACACACATACACAAAATAAATGAATATAACTTTTTTAAACTTCTTTTATTATAAAAGTAATTTCTAAGATATTCCTGTATGAAAAAAAAAATACTGCTACGGGACATTTTTCTCTATTTGCATCTACTCCCGTAAAATACACAGTATCTTACGAATTAAGATAGAAGAAGGAACACTGCCACATACCTTCTTTGTACTGTTCTTTATAGACTCAGTTCCACTTGCTTCGCTTTCAGAAGGGTTCACACTGTGTCAAACAACAAGCCATCAGTATCTTGTACATAATGTTATCTATACGTTGCTTCCGCATGAGAACAAGCTGAATGTTTCTATTCCATTCAGATAGGCCACGGGCAGGTGTGACACCTTTCTAGATCTACTGCCCATCTCCCACATCTGCTCACATCAGTTTTTCCCAGGCAAGTGAGTCATCTAATGGAGTCGAGACTGAGAACTGCACTTCATCCAAGGCACTGGTCCCAACTCTGTGGGATCATCACTGGGCCCATAGCTGGAACAATGTCTCCTGTGTGGAGAAGATGGAAGACCCTGTGCTAACTGGGAGCCTGAGGCAGGTTGACACAGGCAGACTGGTCAGTGGAAGATTTAATAGCAACAGCTAAAGCTAGAGGCACCACATCCAACAGAAAGGGCCTCAGAAGCAGGGCCTCTCCATGACAGACCAGGAGGCGAGGGAGGGAGGGAAGGAGAGAGGGTAAAACCGAGGGAGACATCTGAGAACAGCACAGCTGAACACTTTAGGGAGAAGGTGTCTCAGGCCTGCTGGTGTTCTGGGACATGCGAAACTCTCCCCACGGCCCCTGCCCTGGCTTTTTTGTACTTACATGCAAACCCCACCTTCCTTTCCTAAGGGCTCCCTTTGGTGGCAGGACCATTCACCCCAGCAAGCAATCTACTGACCCCAAAGCAATCCCACAGCTGCCCGATGGCGACTCTTCTCCAGCATCAAGACCTACTGCTGTGCTTCTCGGCTATGCCTCAAACCACCCACTGCCTCTCATCTCTGACACAACCACCCACCTTCCCCACCCCAGCCATGAAATGCCCCTCTCTCCCCCACCCCCATAAAAGACTGGCTATAGTCCCAGTGCTGACTGGGTGAAGACAGAAGGATTCCGGGGACTCCTGGCCAGCAAGTCTGGCTGAATTCATGAGGTCCAGGTTCAGTTAAGAGACTATGTCTCATAAAAACAAGGTAGAAAGTGATCCATGAAGACATCCAGGGTCATCCTCTGACCTCCACATCTCTCTCTCATCGCACAGAGAGACAGAGAGAGCGTAAGAAACTTATAGTTTTCACATATATCATTAACTACAACAGATAAAAAGGAAGACTCTGTTTATAATAACTACCAAACAAACAAAAATATTGATAAATAACTCTGGAATAAACCCAAGAAAGATTAAAAATCTAAACAACAATTTCATAACCTAGGATGTCACTAAAGGATACAGGGCCCTTGAGCCCATGAATACACATTGGCTCATCAACACAGACACCTAATCCCTTAGATTCACTTAAAGCGATAACCCAACCAAAGAGACAGCATGCTTAGATAATTAGGTGATAATTACAATTATACGTAATAAAAATTATAGGAAATTACGTTTTCACGTACCACTTCTTTTGAGGAAAATCATAACAAGCTGGCTCAAAAGATGCTGTAATGACGTAAGTTTTCTTAGCATGTTGTTTTTCTATAAAAACAACTGCTTAAGGGCTAGAGACAGCTCAGCAGTCGTGAGCAACTTGCTCTTCTGAGCACCTGAGTTCAGTCCCAAGCATCCATGTCAGGTGACCCACAACCGCCTGTAATTCTGGTTCCAGGGGACCTGACACCTCTGGATTCCTTGGGCACCTGTGCTCACCTGCACACACCCACACGTAAGATAAGAAAAGCAAGTGTAACCCTCCCCCCCACAACAAGCAAACAAACGGAAACCCCCAGCTGCTTGCGATGGAGCCATACTTTCTGCTCTCTCTTCCTCCAAGAGTGGCCGGAGAGGCGGAGGCCCCACGGTGCTTGGACAGCTCCTCTTCAACCTCTATGGCAGTGCTGTGCAGAGGAGGGTCTACAAAAACAGCAAATGGAAACTGACTGATCGTTAAGTTGCATTCCCTGGTGGCAGGACACAAGGCAATCCTTGTTTAAACGGCCAACAAAGTCAGAGTTGGCTACACAGGCTACTTCCAAATACTTAATCTCAACCTCAGTAACAGGAAACCTTACTGACAATTAAAAAAAAAAGCAAGCAAGCAAACAAAAACAACAAAAAAATCATGTTTTCAGGGGCTGGAGAGATGGCCCAGGGGTGGAGGCCCATTGCTGTTGTTGGGGACGAGACTTGAGTCCCAGAATCCACGTGGCGGCTCACAATCTTCTTAACTCTTATTCCAGGACATCCAATGCCCTCTTCTGGCCTCCATGGCCACCAAGCGTGTACATGGTCCAGACATATATGCGCGTAAAACACTTACGCACATAGAACAAATCTAAACAAACGTTTTTAAAGACATGTTTTCAAATTATTTATCTGTATTCTTATGTGCAGTAACGGAACTGTTGTCATAACACGAGATGAACATGGACAAGGAGCCTAAGATGCTCTTCCCTCCCCGCCACGCATTATCGGAGCTGCTGGCTACCATGTCAGCCAGTAAGTGTTCTGGGCATCCCCCTCTGACTTCATAACTCACAAAGTGCCAAGCCTTTAGAGGGCAATGGACACAAGCATGAATGCCCCTGCAGGGAAGGGGCCTGTCCTCTCTCACTCCCCTTCCAGTCACATTCACCTGGACTGCAAGAGCCTTTAGACTAGAGCAACAAGTGGACCCAAATGAAGACATAGGAGAGCACGTGCCTTAGCAGAAAGGCGGGGAGGGAGCTGCTAAGGCTGCTCCCACTGGCTGGAGAAAGACAGTGACAGGACACTGCAGGGGTGTTTTGACACAGCAATAGTGACCCCGACTTAGACAGCAAGCACCTTCCTCTTTCATGGGGTTCCCAGAGTTCCTAATTCACAGAGTGGTTGCCAGGGGCTGGGGTGTGAGAACAGGGAGCTGTGTAAAGGCCACACAGTCTGAGTTAAGGACGCTAAAAGGGTTCTGGAGAGGAATGGTGAGAGATGGCCCACCTTCACCTTCAGCAATGTGAGCAGGCCTATCTGCCACAGAACTGCTCATTCAAAACCGGTAACAGAGTGAGTTCCAGGACAGCCAGCGCTACAGAGAGACCCTGCCTCCAAAACCAAATAAACAGACAGTAAATTTTATGTCCTAGTACTCTGTATGTGTAAGACACCACTATGGGACATTATTTTATACTCACTACAATGGCTAGAAAAAAAAGTACCAATAGAATAGTAGTATCAGAGTTGCTATTGGCTCAACAATTCTCCTAGTGTTATGTCTCAGAGAGCTCAATAAGTGTCCACACACCCACTCACTGACACCCCCGCCACGCACGCACGCACACACATATGCAAAAAGAAAACTTGAACATGAATGTTCATAGCAGAACTATGATCAAGACAAAGAGAACGTAGAGCCAACTGAGCATTATTGAGCCATAAAATTTAAGGAGGAATTGAACACATGCTTCAACCTTGAAAATGTGATGCTAAGTTACAGAAGTCCTGAGAATATGATTCTAGACAAATCTATAGACACTGGAAGTAATTGTATGGTGTCTAGGGATCAGAGGATGGGAAAGGGGGCTGGCTGGGGTCAGGCTTCTTCTAGGCTAAAACTCTTCTGGAATTAGATAAGGGAGCTGACGGCACAACTCTCATTAACTGAGCATTGCTGTTTCCACATCATGAATGGGGACTTAGAACACTGACCAAAGAATTCATAAGGTTCTTCTTCCTCCATTTCTCCCAGGATGCTGGAGACATCAGAATTGTTAGGGAAGGCAAACACATCGTTGGGTTTGTGCTTTTGATCAGCTTTCTGAAAGTGAATAAAACCAGTCACTGAAACAGCACCCGTCAAGTTTGCAGTACTCATCTCTAGAGGACCCTCTAGCTAGTCCTACAGACACCTGTGCAGCCACCAGGTGCTTTCTGAACCTCAGACCACTCTGATGATCAAAGGCAGGGATGGGTAAGCCATTTCTCCAGAGGCCAGAGAGTAGATACTTGGGCTCTGTAGGACACTAGACTTCTGTACCATTACACACAAAAACAGCTATTGACAAGACAGACAGGAATGGACATGGCCACGCTTCAGTTCAGCTTGACTTCTAGGCTCTGAAATTTCGTATCATTTTCATACAGCATTTTCATTCTAGGCCAGCTTTGCTTTTTCTTTTCTTTTACTGAGACAGGTTTCACTGTGTATTCCAGCCTAGCCTTGAACTCAATCACAGGAGTTCTCCTAAGTGCCAGGATTATAAATAGGTGTGACCCATCCTGTCCAGCTTATTTAAATCATTTTAAAATGCAAACAAAACAGAACAAAAGAGCATTTGGTTAAAAACAAACAAACCAAATCAAATGGCAGGTACATTTGGCCCATAGGGTATCATTTACCTAACTACTTGAAATAGGGTATGATCCTACTTGAAATGCTATGATCCCCTTTCCAGAAAAAGGGTACATGCTCAAAAGCTCATAAGCAGTTTTGACTGCACAGAGGGTTAGAGCCTGCATCCTGCAGGAGAGAGACCGTGGCCTCCAGTTCAATACACAGATTAAACCCTAAACCCCAGTGAAAGAGCAAAAGGAGAAAATCTTCTACAGTAGTTTACAAAATACAAGAGGATGCTACTATTTACAGGTAAGAAAAGTCTGGAAGCTAGAAAGGATATGCGGTAACACTAGCAAACAAAACTCCAGTGAGTCTCAGGAAAGGCCCCGTTCACAGGGTGCAATCTGGAGAGATGTCAAGAAAGAGCAGGCGGTTTGCCTTCAAGCCAAAGAAACCCCAATCACATGCAGGGCAAACGCTCCCAGAGGGAGGTCCTGAAAGCCGGGAAAAACCACTCTAGTTCCAACAAGGCTGGAAAGGGACTATTGTCCAAGAAATCCCCTCAGGGCACAGAGGATTTTAGCTACTCTGAGCAGTGGTGGGCAGGAAAGCTGAGCTAGCTTACCAGAAGGCATGAAGGAGCATCAGCCAAAGCTAGAGTTAGGGCAGTAGCGTGCCTAAGATGGAGAAAGTGAGGGACACAGAAAGGGGCCAAAAGCACTCTGAAAAGCTAGCCCTAAACTTGAAAAAGCAAACACCCTCATCTCTCTAGCTTGGGATGGCAATGAATAATGTTTTGGAATTAGCGATCAAGAAGGTTAAACAAATGTACTTGCCTTTAACATAAATTTCCCGAAGAAAAATAAAGCTATAATGTGGCCAAAGAGGAATACCACAAACCCAATGCAGGTGTTACAAACTGTAGCATGAGCCGGGTCTGATGGTGCATGCTTTGTAATCCCAGCACTCAGGGAGGCAGAGGCAAATGGATCTCTATGAATTTGAAGCCAGCCTGGTTTACAAAATGAGTCTAGGACAGCCAAGGCTACACAGAGAGAACCTGTCTCGAAAACAAAACAAGCAAAAATGAAAAAAAAAAAAAAAAAAAAAAAAAAACTAGCACAGAGAAATTGCTGTAAGGGAAAAATGTCGATATAGAACATTACACAACTTTTACATGATGTCCAATATTTGAATAAAATTAATGTCAAGCTAGGCTCAGAAAAGAAAAAAATGGTTCTAAAATGTTAAGTTCCTTTTCTCCATCTTACTGGATAAAGCACTTTTTAAAGCTCTTATTTTAAAAAAAAAAATAAAAAGTGTGTGGAGCCTGGTGGGGTGGCACACACCTGTAATCCCAGCACTCAGGAAGCAGAGGCAGGTGGATCCCTATGAGTTCAAGGTCAGCCTGGCCTACAGATGAGTTCCAGGACAGTCAAGACTACACAGAGAAACCCTGTCTGGGAGGGAGGGGGAATTGTCAAGGGAAGTTACAAAAATGTGATTCCCACAAAATGACAGTTTTGTTTTCAATCACATTAACAAACATTACTTACGTGTTTGCTGGAATGTGCTCTTTTCAAAGCGCTCTTTGTACGTATTGCACTGCTAAAACACAGACAACAAAATTACAAAAGGGAAGTTAGAAAACATTTGGGCAACCAGGGAAAGCAAAAGCTGAGGTTCTTCCCAGGTGCTCCTTCCCAGGCTTCCCAAACTTCCTTCTTTAGTGATCACCCAGCAGAGCTGAAGCTGTGGCAGCCACCACCTAAGGAGCAGGACTGGGGCTGGGGGCCCTTCTCACTCTGTAAACCATCTCAGCTGTGGGTGTACTAGGTTGCAGAAATAAAAAGTTTACTTCTGAGCCTTCCCGTGAGTTGCAATAAAATGCTTTTAAAAGGATGCGCCAGATGCAGAATTTTCACAAGGCTTTTTCGGCCGTGCACCGCGTGCTCTGTGATGTGGAACATCGCTACTATAAGCCAGAAAAAGCAGTTTAGAGCGCTGGTTCTCAAATTTCAGCTGACTTCACAGCCGCCTGAGAGGCTTGGGCAGGGCTGCAGGCCAAAGGTACACTTGTCCGGGACTGAAGAGGGGAGGGGCTGAACATTGCTGGTCCGCCTAGGTAGCTCCCAGCATAGGACAGCCCAGAAACTCTGGGCTGGGGCTGAGATTCTCCATTTCTAACCAGTTCCCTACTTGAGCATATGCTCAAGCCTGGAGAGCTGTTTTACGTAACTTGCAGACTGCGATTCTCAAAGGTCCCACAAAGCAGAAGTAGGTATGAAATCCAGGCTGAATAAGCTGCTCAGCCTCAACTCCTTCTACCTCTTGTCTGTGCTCCAAATAATACAGAGAAATTTCCTTCCAGCTTTGGGCTGGAGAACTGGAGCAGATTCCAAACGACAGAGCTCCCTAAGATAACCAGTTATATTCTGTTGTGTGCACCTGTGACCTTCAGGTCTGGATGAGGGAAAGGTTTCAAAGCCTCAAACCTCAAGATGTTGAAACAACAAAAACCACTCACCTAGCAAATCAAGTTTTAAGCTCCTTTCCCTTGACTTCTTCCTTTCTTCTCCCTCTCCCCCTTCCTCTTTGCCCACCACCTTCCCTCTTTCAGCAAGGTCTCAGGTAGCCCACATTGGTCTTGGATTCACTATGTAGCCAACGGGGCCTCTGCATATCTGAGCCTCCTGTCTTTCCGAAGTTCTAGGATCACAGACGCGAGCCATGACACCAAGAGTTCTCCTTTTCTCTTTTTTAAAGGAGCTGTGCATGCATGCCCAGGCCTTTAATCCCAACACGTGGGAGGCGGAGGCTGGTGGATCTCTGAGTTAACGGCCAGCTGGCTACAGAGTCCCAGGACAGCCAGGGCTACACCGAGAAACCCTGTCTCAAAAAACCAAAAAAATTAAAAGCACGTTACCACTCATTATACCCTGTTAAGTTCCTTTCCCCTAGTCACTATATTTCTTGTTTAATCTTCCTCCTCATGGCTCACCCAGTGTGGATTCCCCCACCATCTGCGTCCTGCGGTACCTACAAACACGATCTCCCATAGGCAATCTTCCCACAGAAGACCTACCCAGAGACCGACCTTTCTACCAAGATCCCTGCCAGGCTTTGGATGCGCGCCAGACACGCCAGAATGCTCGAGCCAGCCTTTCAGAGTTTAGCAACCTGTTTAGATCTTCGTAAATAAGATGTCTGAAGCACCCTGAATGTCCTCTAGGCATTCAGGCCATCAACCCAAGCCCTAAACAAGCGGCTGCCTGAGATATGGTTTGGCTTCAGGGTCCGTGTTTTCTACTACGAAAACAGCTTGGTCTTGGAAATAAAAAGCAATGACGACCGACGAGGAAAGGATTAATGTTAACTATCTGCTTGTCACAAGAGGCAACGCTGGTGTCTGAGTTCCTCTCCCACCCAGCTTGAGCCCAGGGACTGTATCCCCATCCTACGGCTCAAGCGCCCGGGACTGTGGGAACCGAGGCCGGGTCGGCGAGTCTCTGGGACAAGCTGAGGCCGTCCCGGGCGGAGTGCGGGGCGGCAGCACTTACCCCGGGCTCTCCGGGGGACCTGGACCCCCAGAGTGTCTCAAGCTTTTCCGAGCCACCATCCTACCGGTCCCAAAGCCAAAACTCGCGCCCAGCCGGCCTGGCCCAGACCAACCAATCAGAGCCTAGCACTCTCTGTGCCCCGCCTCTTCCGGGGCGGGCCCAGCGAGAGCGCTTCCTGGACGAGAGCATAACCGAGAAACAAGCCTGGATAACCAGCCTGCAGCGGAGCGGAGTCCCGAGCCGTCGGTTCATCTGCTCCGGGGCTGTCCCTCCCGCCCGAAATCCGCACCGGTGTTTTCGAAATTTAGAACTCCCCGGCCTCCTGGGCGGAGAAATGACCCGGAGCTGGTGTGGGTGTGGGTGGACCCGAGGTGGCCTCCGGCGGATCTGAACTCCTGCGCTTCCGGGCGGCTTTTTTTGCTAGTTGATGGACAGCTGTCAAGTTCCTTGCATTGAGAAATGCTGCTTTTAGTTTCCTGTAGCAGCTCACTGTTGGACTTGACGTGGTATTTGTCCTCCCTTCCAGGATCTTCCTTTGTAAACCGGGAGGGTGCCTTCTGGATCCATACTCACGATTCTCTTTAAAAATTTCTTGGGGTGCAAAAGAACGAAAAATTAAATGCGTCAAAGATCCAAGAGCTAAAACGGCGAAACTCAAGAAAACTGAGTCAAAACGTTGGACTTGGCAATGATTTTTTTGTAAGGTTTATTTTATGTGTATGAATGTTTTGCATCTATTTATTTGCACGGCAGGTGTGTGCCTGGGCCCCGTGGAGGTCAGAAGAGGGCATCGGATACCCTGAAACTGGACTTCCAGATGGTTGTGAGTTTGGGGCTTGAACCCCAGGTCTTCAGCAAGAGGCTCCAAAGGGCCATCTCTCCAGCCCTACAGTAAAATCTTGATTAACGTAAAGCACAGTGGCAATAAGGAGGGCTAGCTAGGGAGACATATAGATGGTTATGCAAAAAGGTGGATGTGTTTAACTCCACCAAACCATACACTTAAAAATAATTAGAATGAAGAAATGCGATGTCCCAATTTTATGTTAATGTATTTTATCACAAAATATGCTTACACCAGGTGGTGGTGGTACAGGCCAGCAAAGGGCAGTCATCCCTTGGGTTCCAGGCCAGCCTGGTCTACAGAGCGAGTTCCAGGACAACCAGGACTTACTGAATTAGAACATAAAAGGTTATAGTTCTCAGGCTCTTACATGAATGGTGCCCTCTTCCCAATCATAACTATCCTTTAGATTTTTTAAAAGCATTTTTATGCTTTGCAGCTTTGATATGCCCCTATGTAAAATCATTGCCTATTTCTATCTCTATAGATAACATTTGGTAGGTACTCTGCAAGCACCCTTCCCGAAGCCAAAATTTTAAAGTGTCCACCTCTGTGTGTGGCCGTAGTCCCTTCATACTGCCTTTGGAATTCATTAGCTGTTTGTATCATTTTTATACTCTTGTGCTGTGGATGCATGAGTTCTTTCCCCTCGCTATTCCCAACAACGCATCGCTGCACATTCTGTGCGTGTCTTCCAGGGCACATGTCTGTGTGTCTAGGGACAGCATTAGCAGAGAGACCACCGTGTAAGATATGGATACGGTCAGCTTTTCCTGATTCCAGGTTTTGTTCATTGCTTTGTAAACTGTAGACTATTTTAGTCAGCCCTTGACTCCTCATCTTTGATAAGTTTAGAGGGTTTTATATCACCTATTTACTGAGATGAAATGTTTGTGTTTTATGATTTGCATTTCCCTCAAGCAAACAAATCATCTGCTCCGTGTGTCTAGGTCATTCCTGTTTCCTCTTCCGTGAAATGTGTGTTCAACAACTACCCAGAAACCATCTGGGTGACAGAAATCATCTGCCAAAGAAGGAAAAATCATCTTGAGGCTATGGAAGGAAGTTCCTAGTGAATGGATAGAAATGAGTTTCCTGGAACTACTGAAAACTGCCCTGCTGTGGAGAGAGGTGGTAGCTCCATTTTCTGTGAAAAGGAGTGTGGATAAATCTTTCCTGGTTTGTAGTTATGGAAAAAAGAAACCACTCGGGTGCTAAAACAGGAAAGGATAGCTCCCCCAGTGGGAACAACTACAACCCCAAACAAATAGGTTTAAATCATTAAAGGAATTGCTGAGTTTGTGTCACCGGGAAGTCCAGGGTGCATGTCACACTGCTTTCTCAGTTTGATACAAAGCTTTGAGAGGTCACTGGGGCTCTGAGGACATTTTCTTGACTTCCTTCAACCTTACCCTCAGGCTGGGTTCTACCACCTCACCAACTCCTCACCACACCACACCACACCACCACCCGGATTTCCTACTACCCACGCGTTGCTCTAAGTATTTAGTTTCTATCGTTTTATTAAATGCTCTGCATAACCCTGCGTGGTGAGCACTGTAACTCCATTTCACATCTGCCAATGCTAATAGAGCAATGGCTAATGGACCAACCTGCCTTTGCTTGATCCAGGAGTCTGGATCAGGTCTGTATGATGGCAGCCATGCATAGCTCAGGCTTGAATTCCACTATTCATTCATTTGTTCATTAATTCAGCGTGAAAGCCTAGAATTCTCAGGAAAGGCCTGACAAACATGTGCCTATCTATACTGCTCAGGCTTTTTCATGGGACCTGCCTGCATGCTAGGCAAGTACTCTACAATGGCGTTACATCCTGTACCCTTTTCTTTCTGCTTTTGAGACATACTCTCAACAAACGGCTCAGCATTCCTTTGAACTTGTGATCCTCCTGCATCAGCCTCCTGACTAGCTGGGATTTCAAGCCTGGGCCATGAGGCCAAGTCAGAATACTCTTTGAAATGTTATAAGCAAACAAGTGTTTATGGGCACACAAGACACATAAGCATCAACAATCACACTGCCCACATCCTTGTGGCTGGGGATACATGATACACTCCTTAACCTTCTGGGAATCACAGAGATTCCCACAGGAACTGGGGTGCTAGGTACTCAAGGGGGAGATAGATGCTTTGAGACAGACAATCCAAACCACTGCTTCAAGCTGGTCACAGGAAAATTACAATTTCCATCTAAATATGTAAACATCTGAGTCCACCTTTGTTCTACTCTGTGGTGCTACTTTTCCTACATCCGCAGAGGGTAGTGAATCTGAGGTTGAGGGAGGGGAGAACCGAGGGCAGGAGATCTTAAGAGATGTCTAGGGTGGTGGTGTCATGATTAAAGCAGGCCAGTGTGTAACACAGACTCTAGCTGGCTGTACGAGAGGGCAGGCATAGCAATTCGACCTGGGAACGCAATTTCAAAGTCTTTGCTGTCTGTATTGATGACAGAAACCAGAGCGCCTGCCTGAGTTAACCAACTGGTAAAGCCAGGGTACAACCTAGCTTGGGGTGGGAAAAGAACAAAAGAGCTCACTCATCCTAAGGCATTAACGGAAATGTGGGTGCTACAAAGCGGCCGGTTAGCTGAAGGGTCGGGAGAGGGAAGGGGACAATACAGCCAAGGATACAACCATGAGAAACATCTCATGAAGAGAATGGTAGGCTGTACTCTAGGGAGGCCATGGCCATTGTTTTCTAGTTCAAGATGGCAGCTGTGTTGGCCTGTGCCCCCCCCCCCCGCCAAAACACAAACACACATACACACACCACACACACAATCTGCCTTTTGTAAATGTTGGCTGAATTCACCTGCCTTGAGTCGCTGTAGCTCGCAGGTAATGAATGAAAGCTCCTGTTCATTTTGGGGTGAGGGAAAAGAGAGGAAAGGGGGCAGAGGACACAGATGGAGATAGTGGTGTTGCCTCAATACAGGGTGACTTTAATGACATCTGAGAGCAGGTTATTGAAGGACACGGTGTTATAATAATGATTAAGGCCATGCAACATATTTGATACAAGGAGGTTTGTTGTGGGAAAGGGGAGGGGGGAAAAAGGGCAAAGGAGAGAGAAGGGAGCCCATGGCAGAGAGAGAGATAGAAAGAGAGAGACTGAAATGGAAAGAGACAGAGAGTAAGAAAGAAAGAAAGAGCTGGGGAGGTTAGTGGGGTCTTTTTATCAGGCATATACCTGGCGGCTCACCTGGACTTGGCAGCAGGTGATGATGTCAGAGGTTGTTAGGACCCTGAAAGGCAGGCTAGTGGGACCTCCTGTACATTAACATATGGGTTATAGAGATTTAAATCATATATATTCATGTTTAGAAAATTTGAAGAAAAAGCTATTGTTATTCTAATACAAAGGAAAACAAGTGGACTCTCCTAGTGCTTGCTTATTAATTCTAACACTTAAGAGATGGAGGCAGAAGAATCTCAAGCCCTATGCCAGCCTGAGCTACATAACAAGAGTGTTTCAAAAATTAAAACCAGCAAGATGTGGTAGGGCACATCTTCAATGCCAGCACGAGGGAGGTAGAGGCAGGTGGATCTCTTTGAGTTCAAGACCAAACTTATCTAAATAGTGAGTTCCAGGTCACCAAACACCAGCAATAAGAAAGAAAAAAGAGAAAGAGAGAAAGAAAAGAGAGAGAGAGAGAGAGAGAGAAAGAGAAGAAAGAAAAAGGAAGGAAGGAAGGAAAGAAAGAAAAAGAAAGAAAACAACAAAATCCCAAGCCAATCCAAAAAAAAGTGAAACAACAACAAAAGAAATAAATCACCATTTTTCCCCTCAAATGCTTGGGGAAAACTGACTGGGGTTTGGGGCAGGGCATATTTCCCTATGAAAACCAATCTTCCCTGGGGAGTAATTTGATGTAGACGTAGGTCTGTATTCTGAATTCGTATCGGATGTTTCAATGGGGCTATTGTTATTTCCGCTTTAGGACTATGAGGACTATCCCAACACTGGGATCCCAGGAAGTACAAGGAAGGGCTTAGCTTTTTTTCTAGGGAGCATTTTTTCGAGGGAGCATTGTTTCTGTTCAGCAGTGTCCACCAGAGGGCAGAAAGAGAAAGGGACTAGGGACTTCCAACTGTAACTGGAGACATGACAGTCTTGAATGTTAGTTTGAGATTAAGGGCTGCTGGCGCCTGACTCCTGTCTCCCCTTTACAAGAATGCCATTCTTCCATAGTTTATGAAAGTGTTCCTGCCACTA